TATATATATATATATATATAATCTAATGCACTATGAAAATAAAAATATCTTGATTAAAAACTCTGCAAAATTCGTGATGTAGATACATATTGTCATGTTCTATAAACAAAAATATTAAATAAAGGATTTTGTAATTAAATCTAAAATTCTTGTGCAAATTTTTAATAAAACTCTAAAAATCTGCACTATAATTCATTTATAAAAAATTATTACATATTTTTCATTAGTATATACAGTTAGTTGCTTTAAAATATATAATAAGCTTCTGTCAAAACGAAATAAAAATATAATTAAGAAAGTAGTATTTCAAGATAATATTTCTAATTATATTTGATAATAGATAAGAATATTAAATAAATATGAAAATAAAAATATGTATAATACAAAATAGAAAATGGATAATTTTGTTTCAATCAAATCAACAAAAAATGTTGAAAGTAATTACATAATAACTTAATATTTATTTTAATTTATTATACAAAAATATTATAAATATAATTCATATTTTGTACCTATACAGTAAACAAAGAAAAAATAATTTCATAATTTTAATATTTATTAAGATATATCAACACATTCGGTTTTATAACAATAATTATTCAAATACGTTGTTGTAATTATAATTTAGTACGAAGATTATTCTTAAGAAGACGGGGACACGTGACTTGTATTGTTTATGCATGAAAAAAGGAGTAAAATGAAAGTAGTTCATGCAATGACTGCATATATTTCTATTCATATTAAACCAAAATAGTTTGTATATATAATTGTGTCCTTGTATTACTTGAATAAAGTATATTTGTTCAATTCTTAATTATAAATTTATTTGAAATATAACGTAATTTAATAGACACAAGATTTATTATAATCCAGTTTTAATATATTTATCATGCACCTTGCAGCTACTAGTCAGTTATAACGATTGTCAGAAATTTATATATCATTTTATAACCGTAGTAAATAACTAATAATCTAAATGTAGTAAAAAATATAATATGAAATTTTAAAAGCATTGTTTTATTTTCAATTCAATTTTTATATTATCTATTATTGATATATGGTATTATTGATTATTGGTGGTATTATGATAATTATATTTTCATTGGAAATTTTCTACAACAAAGTAATGTATAAGAATCACATATAATTTAAGAAATTAAAATATATATTGTTATTGTATAATGAAAATCAGAGAGAAATTCGGTTAAAAATTAAAAAAAAATAAGTTTTATTAATAAATAATCATTTTTACTATTAGAGATAAGCTAGTGAAATATTATGTTATTTACACTGTTCTTTCATTGAGTAGAATTATTTTTATTTCAATACTTCATTTTTTGTAATCGTTCCATGCGGAACTAATTATGTTGAATGGTGCACGTGGATTAGTTAAGATATGTATGTTTACGCGCACGAGCACGTCAGTCTGTTGTACATACTTAAATTTATAAAACTCATATAAAAACAATAAATTTAGAAGTATCAAAAATGTTTCACATGCGTTAATTTTAAGTATATAGTTAAAGTGAAACGTGTATCAAAGATTTCTGTACATGACACTATTTTGAAATGTATTACGTTCATTTAACATGTTTTACCTTCATTTATTATTAACTAAACTATTTAAAATTTATTAAAAATATTTATATAATAAATATTATCATATATTCTGTATATTGTTTAATTAGAATAGAAATTCACCTACGCTTAAAATACGCCATCACAGATTTTTTACAAATTTTTACAAACATACAATTTTTTTATAGTTCATGAATTACATTTTAATAAATTATTCATTTATACTTGATATGTTCTTGATATTATTCTACTTGATTCTTTATTAATTAATAGTAAATGTAATATATATTTCACATACAGTTTAATTATAATATTTTTCTAATTTTTATATATTTTCAATAATTATCATGAAATTAAATAATTTAATTTAATTTCTTGTAGAAGAAAAAGGTTTAATGTTTATTATATATATTTTGTTCATTTACGGTAAATATTTATTAAATTTTTACGTAACTGAAACTCAGCAAATATTGTTTGGATAGTATTGAGTTTAATGGTTTTAATCAGGTGAGCAAATAGAACAATTTTATGTTTTTAATATAAAAATGCTGATATAAAAATGTTATATATATTAATATAAATATTTGGAACTATAGTTATACTAATGAAAAAATTGTAGTAAAGTTAAAAGGTTTAGACTTCATGAGAAAATAGATATCTAAATTTACACACATTGTAGTAACAGAATGATCTCTTTACTTTGAATTTTGAATTATGCAAATATAGTTGAAACTTTATTAATTTTTTATCATGAATTATAAATTAGTGAAAATTAATGTAATTGCTATATTTATATATATATCTGTATGTATGCATGTATAGCATTCTAGTATTAAGAATTACATGTAACATATATATATATATATATATATATATATATATATATATGCGTGTGCGTATGTGTGTATGTGTGCCTGTATGTGTGTGTAAGCATGTTGTATGTGAATATGTGTTCATAAATAGAAAGCAAATATTTGTTATAAAAATATATAATAAATTTTAGTTAATATTTATTATAAATAATTCGGTAATATATATTGCAGTTATGAATAATAAAAAATTGCAATAAATCAATTAGAAACTATTATGTATAACCCAATAACCCAATTACTAAGTGAATGTCGTCTGACTTTTGTTTATAATCAGAACTGCATGAATCTTGTACAATATCTAAATTAAATTAAAATTTGAATATATCTTATCAGAAAACGTTGTAAAGTTTTACAATAGAAAATTTTTAATTAAAGTTTTAATGTTTTTTATCTAAAAATGCTTCAAATGTCCTTTTCCAACTTTTAATAAAGAAGTGGCATAGTAATAATTATTTTGTAGAAAATTTTTTAACTGACACTAATAGAAATTACTTTTTATATTTAATAAGAGTGTCATAAAGGATTAAAAATAATACAATATAGTAACAGTAATTAAATAATTACTATTAAATAAGACATTTGTTAATAAAATGGTTTAACAAAATTATATATAAGACAAATTAATAGATGATCGTAAAAATTATGTTCGCGAAATAATTTTTTCATTTATAACATAATGATTTTTAAAATGAAAGAATAAAATAATCATATAATATTGATCAATAATATTTAATCAATAATATTGAATTAAGTAATATATTTTTAACATTCTTATCATTCAATTATATATTTTGGTATCTTTACACACATACGCACACAAATATTTTATAGGTAATCTAAATATACATAGCATACTAAACATATTAAATATGTACTAAGCTTCGTTATATAAAAGAGGTATGAATGTTATTTTAAAGAATTATTTAATAATTAACTTATAATTATATATTTAAGTTTTGGAAATCAAATTATTAATATTATAGTTAATGTAAGTTAATAAGAGAAATAGATACTTATTATTGAATTATGATAATTAAGTTAAAATCAATTATTTATATTCAAATTAATTCGCATTAGATGAAGAAGTAAAATATTTTGAATTAAATAAATAATAAAGTGTATATCAAACTATTTTTTACAATTGATAATTTAAACTGTATTCTAAAATGTGTATACGTAGATCCAACATTTTTTAAAGTACACGAGAAAAAATATTTGATTACAGTTTATCATTTTCATTTACTTTTTTATGTTCGAATACATGTATCTAAATTGCGCTACGATAAAAGATAAAAAAATATTTACGGTCATAAAATTATTATAAAGGTATTGAGAATAAATTATATTTTCTTAAAAATTTACTGTCCAAATGAATATATATATATATATATATATATATATATAAATACTGTGGATTAAATAATCGAGGATTCATATGAATCTTATCACCTTTAATTATGTTAGTCGTATGTATATGTTAATAATCTCTGATAAATAAAGATATCACGTATAATATAGCAGTAAAACTTTTATTATTCTTATTATATTATTATCATTATTATTATTATTATTATTATTATTATTATTATTATTATTATTATTATTATTATTATTATTATCATTATCATTATCATTATCATTATTATTTTAACGGATATTTATATCTAAAATAATATTAAAGAAACATAATTATTATATTATACTATAAACAGTGGAAGAATATTTATATAGACCATCTATTATGAAGAGCGAGACTATTAGTCATTAAAATAAAGTCATTATTAAAAACTTAAATAATAAAAAGTAAATCTTATTAATATAATTAATAAGATTTTATTCATAATTAATAATAATAATATTAATTAATTTAATTAATTAACAAATTAATAATTAATAATAATTAATAATATAATTAATAAAAAAATAAAAAATAAAAAAAAAAATCTTATTGAAAACTGTCTTTGTAATAAGATAGTTGTATAACAGTACTTTAATAAAATTAATTCCTGGTTACTATAATCTGGATATTAAATGGAGTTAATACGTAATAGAATAAAAGTGTGTCATTAAAAACAAATACCACTAGAAGTAAATACTGTTTTTTATCCAAATGTTAATAGTAATTTCATAAGAACTGAAATTCACGTTATAGTACTAATTTGTTTGTAGTTGGAATATCATTAAAAATATATTAACTTCGACGATGACTAATTTAATTCTTATATGCATATTAATATACATTAGAATATAAATTTTGCATTTTGAAAAAAGTATATACGATTAACATTGTAATATGGCAGTATGAATAGTATATTATTCTCCGATTAAGATAAGATGATGGACTATCCAAAATTACGTAAAATTTAGTGCTGAGGATCTTTTCAGCTCAGGATTTTACAGAGGCAAACGGACCGGGAAGAGAGAGGAGACGACAGTCGGGCGCACGCGTGCAAGTAAGATGTAATGGTCGGTGGTTGGCATAACCGCGGATCACGAAGACGGCGGCAACGTCATTGACAATGGCAACAACGAAGTTAGTCGATTCGGGACGTCCGGCTCGGCTGTATCGTAGTAGCGATTGTCCCCGGTAGAGCGTGTAAAGAGTGCGCGATTGTGAGATCTTTCGTTATTGCCCCAGTGCAATCCATTTTGTTTCTATTACGTAATGATCGAATTGCAGCTTCTTTTTTGACTCGAATAATTTCATTAATCTCTACCATGCCAATGAACTCATTCTCTTGTGCTTTCTTTGTTATTTCAAACAATGCTCCATGCTTTTTATGACTTTCGCTAAGCGAAAGTGACACATTCTTAATCACTGCTTGCTCTTGATTCAAATCCGCAGTGAGTTTTAATTTCTTTTATTATATGCAATTTCAATTAACCGAATGTTAACTTCTGTCAGAGAAACGGCAACTCAAGTTATCAGACGTATTCATTTATAAAACAAATCTAAATTAATTCTTATAAATTTACTTCGGAACTTCCTTGAATTCATTAAGTAATACGAATTTTGTATTCTTTTACATTTATGTTAAAGAAATCGATTGTATTTGAATACTGTAATAATATTGCAATAAAAAAAAAACAAATAATACTGTCTGTTATGCATTGTGCCACAAATAAAATGATAATTTTAAAGACGTACATGTTTGTAATCCTAATTTAATAGTAATGTTAAATTGAATTTTTGTTTTCTGTATAAAATATATATTTATTTATAATACCGAATGTTTAAATTAACAGCTGTTTTAATGTTATGTTCCGAAATAAATTATACAGAGAAATACCGGTAGATATATTATAATTGCAATTAGCCGACGCTTCTTATTAACCAATATTCTCGGAAAATGTTAAAACGAAATACTTATTTAATATAGAAAATACAGTCTTTGTATTTAATTATCATAATTTTTTCCAATTACTTGCGATGTATAGTCATTTAAATATGAGTTATCCAATAATTAATGATATAAAAATAATAATACATAATATAATTCAAGATAAAATTTAATTTACATTAACTTTAATAATTATTAAAATATTAATCATAGTTATAATTATTATATATTTTTATGGTCATGATAATAGAATGTATTAAAAAATAGGATAATAAATTTTCGTACGTATTTTATACACAATTTGTAGAATTTAAAAATTCTAAAAGAAAGTTAAGAAAAGAAGGATATGTGCTCCTTAATTTTTTATAATTTTTTATATAGTTATATAAATTATTTTAAAATGTTTTAATTTTGTATTGATTTTCATTTTGATTTTTTCTCTCGTATATAATATGTGTTCTCATGAATAACCAGTAGAATAAAAGTTCTATTATAAAAACTTATTTTTATTATTATCGTTATTGTTATTATTATTATTATTATTATTATTATTATTATTATTATTATTATTATTATTATTATTATATCAGTAACAACATTAATTTCAGCTAGAGATGTAATCGCAGAGCAGTAACAGTATAACTAGCAATGGCAGCATCACTAATATTAGGTATCAGGTGACTCGGTGAAAATGGCACAGACTTCATTTCACAATAATAAGTGAACTAGATGGACTTTAATCATATTCAAGCAATATTCTTCATTAAATAAATGAACGTAGAATTGTTAAAAAAGTGAGTAACATTAAATACAATTAATACAATCTTCGTTGCGCATGAGTCGATTGTATTTAGATTCTCTACTCTAATCAATTTTTATCAATTGAATGATAGAAATAAGCAAAAAGGTATTTACTTGAGGGAGCGTCATCGAAATCGATAGGGGGAGTATACACCCGCAGCTCACGATCTATTACTGTTCGAAATCATATCAGTAGTTTTTTCAAACAGTGCATTGATAAGCAAAGGGTACAAGAGTACACAGATTTGAATGTAATTTATGTGTAGCGATAGTTCTGAGAGCAGATGAAGAGAGAGAGAGAGAGAGAGAGAGAGAGAGGGCGCGCGCGCGCGCGTGTGTGTATTGGAGGGGAGGGGGATAAGCGATAATGCATTGGAGGAGTTTGTCTATAGACACAGTGCAGGAAGTTAAGAGAAATGAGTAGTCGATCAACGTTTATTGTACGGAGCTTTGAAAAATCATTCTTATTGAAAAATGTATAAATCGTTGTTAAACCTGTTAAATATAAGAGTAGTAAACTATATCATTATTATTAATGTCATATAATATAGATAATTTATGACTTTTTAATAGGCAATGAATTATATATTTGCTTCTTTTTAAATACATAAAATTTAGTTATAATCCATATTTGTTTAAGCTAATTTTTATGTTATTCGTGTTTAAAAAAAAATATCTTACCATATTTAATTAGTTATGAGATCTGATAGAAATTTATTGTGACAAATATGATATATTTATAATGTATGTAATCTATCTAATTTATCAGAACTTGACCTTCTATTTAAAAATCTTTTAAAATTTTTCTTCTAAAAGGATTCGGACTACATGTACGATACGTATCACAAATTGTACTAATATATATTTTTTGCATACAAGAAGTATATATTATATTTTTATTTGTTATGAATTAATTTTTCTTTTGTGTTAATATTTTTTCAATTTAAACGAAAATCATCATACCGTATTTACAATCGTTTGTGTGCGCAAGATAAAAACGTAAAAATAACAAGTTTCACTATTTATTTGGCTTAACATATTCTTTCGTTACAATATTTTTATTTGAAAATTGATTTGCCATGATATTTTGCAATATAAATATGAATAACGATGTAAAAATATTTGGTTTATAGATGTCGAGTGAATTGTTTTATACCTACCAATAAATCATGAACAAGCGTTGGGATTTCTTTAAAAGAGAACAGTCGATTAAAAGTTATAGAAACTATCGAGTCAGGGCTTACTGGAAAATATATTTAAATAGCTCTTATTACACAATATGAAAATATTAATAAGAGGGAATAGCTATAGTACCAGAACTGATAATCGAATAGCCATCTTCCATAGGAACAAAGTGACATACGTTGGCGCAGCCGTGTGCTGCCTTCTAAGTACGGTTCGCGAGATTCATTTCGATAAAGCAACGGCGACTAAACAACGGCTTCCTCGCGAGTATAATAGAAAGAGAGACCCTCTGACTACTGTACGTCATATGTGTGTGCGCGTGTTCGCGATCTCGCTCTTAGACTCGCGGACGGTGAGCTCGCGCAACGAGCCGTCAGTCGGTCTGAGTCAGTTGTCCTCCGACAGTAGTCCAAGTCGGCACATACCGAATTCGGAACACAGGAAGAATTTCGCGAGGACGATTCGCGATCGCGCATTGCCTTAACCAGCGCTTGATTGGAGAAAATTAACAAATCGCACGGCGACGTCAACGGGCTTATTTTTCGTCCGCGATCGGTGCCCGTTAATCAGAGTAAGTTTCCTCTGCTCTACGATGCTTAAACTTAATATTCTGCTTCTTTCCATCTCTTGGTCCACTTAGTCAAGAATTTTGATCCTTGATATCTTGAGATGTTATTTTCCTGATCAGAAGCATATGTCATTGGTATATCAGAGATATACTTATCAACAGAATATCATACAAATTGTCAACATATTTAAAAGTTAAAATAATTTGTTGCCCATTATATTTTTTATTTGTAATTTAATGATTATAGAGAGATAGCTGTTGAAGTTCCAGTAATAGCCAATCGTATTACGCTATTATACTGAATTTTATATGCACCGAATTTTAATGATATAGAAAAAATTTTATGGTTTGGCCTCTATTATTAATCTAACTTATAAATAATCCTATCCATAAATTCGTAATTTTACAAATAGTCAATTTACCGATTTATTTATAAATAATTTTGACGACAAATTAAGGACAGAAATTTAGAAACAATATCCATACTAATTACTAAATCGAAAACAAAATTTCTCTCATTAAATAAAAATATATAGTTGATAGCATTAGTCAAATTTTTAATACGTATTTCTTGATTTTAAAATATTTAAAAAAATAAATACAAATCAGCTCTTATCGTCTCGATTGCTTATTAAAACTTTTTTAAACAACTCAAATTACAATATTCGATATAATTATAATATAAAAATATCTGTAAAACAAATATAATTGTGGAAATATATTTATCGACGATCGAAGCTTTTTTTATTCTTTAAATACTTATTACAAACTTGTATATCGTTTCATCACTCACTTCCAAATATATTTCGACTGTCTATTATTTATTGATAGTTTTTTCGTGCTCTATTTTTATTCCATAATTAATTTTATTATTATGTATATTGGAGTTGCAAATATGAAAGGCATCATGAATTAATGCACAATATGTTGTACTAGCATGGAATTCCGCTGCTGCTGCAGCAAATACCCCAACTATACGTGTCGATCGTATTATATACGTTGTTATAATTAACTAAAGTGTTCTGTTGTGATCATTTTTCCGATTGAACAATTAATCGATGTCCTGAAATTCTGCTTTATTATTGAAAATATTTAACATATTCACTATAGGTTTTATGTTGCATTTGAAATCTCTTTAATTTTATTTAATTTCTATTGGTCCACACGTATCACTGCCATCTGTGTTATATTACCATAACAGCAATGCATCGATGCATTCATTTTTTAAAAGCGTGGACTTCATAATTAATCACCTTTTACAAAATTTATGACTTTGGTTATTAAATATTATAATTTTAATTGGAATAGATGCACCTGTAAGAAATGTTACTATAATTTTTAAAATGACATATATCTAATAGCAATTAATTATGTGTGTTATGTACTTTTAAATATCATAGAAGATTTATTTTTTACATACAATATTATAAATTTAAATAAGCAACAAAAATTCATTTCATAAAAATAATTGAAAACTTATTAAGTAATATTCGTATGAATCGAGTTTCAAAAGTAAACTTGATTTCATATAAAAAAAAAAATTTCATCAAACCGATATATACTATGAATAATACTTCATATACATAATATTGAATACACAAATTTAATTAATTATTAAACAAATTAACTACAATTTTCAAATTATAAAAGAATTCTGAAATTTTTAAATATTAAATAGTAGTTTCATCTACATCGCTGCAATATATTAAAGAAATATAGTTTTTATTAACTACGTATTTAATGTAAAAAATTTCATATTTATTAGGGTTTATCCAAGCTTAAATCATAAAATTAATTGCAACACTTTAAAAATATGCCAGACACTTTACAAATGAACAATTTAATAATTTATTTTAATATATATATATATATATATATCACTATCTTTCTCAAAAGAAATATTAGGACGAAACTACTCTCTCTCTCTCTCTCTCTCTCTCTCTCCCTTCCTTGTTCTCATTCTGCTAAAAATATGTTTAAATTTTAATTTACATATATCATTGAGCTACATCTAATCTTGATTTACTTTATTTTTCTGGTCTTTTAACAGAACAATATTTAATTATATTTAAGAACAAAGCCAAAAATTAATTAATTCGAAACATTCTCTTACGAAGCTTCTACTTATCTAGAATCGCACAAAAGCAGGGGTGAACTAATGTAAAGGCGAGAAGAGAAAAAATTAGAAACAGACAATGATTTAATGAATTGTATGCACTTATTGGATATTCTGATTATGCTATTGTGCAGTTAATTAGAAATATAGGATCAACTCCCGCAACACGAAAATAGAAGAACACCGGTCGTCCTTCTTGCAAAATGCTGCACAGCGTTCATGCGGTAGAAATAGAAAAGCACCACGACATGCGATTCAAATTTCACTGGCTGTTTCCGCAAGAGATTTTCAAACTTGGCTTCGCTCCAAATACCGAATCTCCTAAGGTACAGGCTTGAAAATATGTGAGAACAGGAACATATAAAGAGATTGATAATTAATGACGATTACATGCGTAGAGAAAAATCTGACAATGAAACAATTACGGTTGATTCATTTCATCTTAATCTATTACTTCTTTCAGAAATTTTAATTCTTTAATTATTTAATTATTGAAAAATTTAATAAATTAGATACAAGCATTATATGTTTATAATATAAATATAATATAAATAAGTTGCATGAAAATGTTTATTAAGTAAAAGGTTTTTAATAAATACATAGTGCAAATGTATAGAGTATACCTCTGCACATTTTTCTACAAGACTTTATTTATATCAAACGATTATATAAACTATATAGAAATGAGTTATAATTCATTATATATATATATATATGTATGTATATAAATTTTATGAATTATAAAATTTAATTTTATTATCCGTAATTCATTTTATCGCATTTTAAATTTTAAAGTAAGAAATATATATTATTAATTCATTTAAGCTATACCTTATATTAATTTGTATTAAAATTTATAAATAGATAAATATATTTCGCTATTTATTTAAGTTCAACTTAATTATCGTGAAAAAATATTTTAAAAAACAATATTTTTAATGTTTTTTGTTTTTAATTTGTTAGCTTTATTATTATTGTAATTCTATTCAACTCTTGAAGTTCATTTTTTTATTTTTTTACTCATTTTGCAGTACAATAAATTTGTCTAATTTATGCCATTTTCTTTAAAAATTTTGTAGATTATTATGAAATTATTCTTAAATGTAATGGCTTAATAAGTGATAAATATATTATTTTTATTATGAAATTTTAGAAATTGTTAAAATTCTTAATTAATTAAATGATTTATATAACCATAAATATACTGTGATTTAAATATTTCTAGTTGTATTCTAACAAATATTATAACGCATAATGAATTTATCGTTATTAGTTTAAGGAATTTTAATTAAAATTCTTATTTTATATTTATTTAATCCAATTTCAAAAATATGTAAAAATCAAATTTTTACTTAAATTTTTATTTAAAATTTTATTTTGTCAAGTCAAGATATTTCTTTTTAGGTAAATTATAAAGTAATTTATTGACACTATTCTATTGTTTCCAGTTTTACTTCACAAATCAATAACTAAAATATTTTTTTAATTATATTATATGATTCTATTCAAATCAATATATTTAATCTGACAAGAAATTAATTTCAAGATTTAAACATGAATGTATATAAATATTTATAAATTTATGAAAAAAAGAATCAAATATGGAAATAATGTCAATTAAGGCTGATGACGTATAATAAAAATGAATTAATCAAAACATACATTTTGCATAAATTCCATGAATTATATCGATAATACTTAAATATATATAATTCAACCAATAAAGCATATTTCATATCTTAACAATCTTGATTCTTAAATGTACAGTAAATTACAATATAAAATGTATATAAAGAATTTCATTATATTTTTTAGAGAATAATTATTTAATTTACTAACTTAGCAAACATAAAATTAACATGAACGATATAACAGTATATTACGTTTCAAACGATAATAAAATCTTACAATCCTTCATTTTATATTTGATTTATTTCTAGGCAGTTTGCTATGAAATACTGTAAAAGGTTTTTATTTGTGGAATATATTTTTAATAATAATTTAATGTGCAATATCGTAATGATCATAATTGATCGGAATACTATCCTTATTTGGTTAATTAATATATATCATATATTTATCTCCAGGTAATTCTAATTGGTCTTCTTAATAGTATATATTATTGAATATTAATTCGTTGATGCATTAGGCAATATATTTTTTTATTTCGTTTTTCAAAATCGGACTCCTAATAGTTTCGTTATTATAAATATTTTTGTTTTCTTTAATTCGGTTTCTGTATATATAGTAACAACTAAATTGATAAATAATCTGATGATTATCATGAGTATATTGAAACATTAATAATAATTTACTCAATTTCAAACACGATTAAGAAACTACTACTGCTGAAATATTTTGCAGAATGACTTCGATGCGGAATTTGTGAAATCAGAAATCTTCATATTCTAAAATATTGCCCACAAATAGTAGGAATATTACAATATCGCCATGTGATGAATCAGCCACAACTAACTATTACTCTTGAGTATGTCTGTTACATATCTATTTAACAGCATTTTTATGGCTTTATCGCGCATTTTTTACCCTTTCACGATCGAACGTGGTTATATGAAAATGTACAAAACTAATAATATTAAGACAAGAAATATTATAAATTTGTTTCTGAATAATCAAATTAAATATTATAAAATATAGCTTATTGTTAACGGTAACCATGGTTATTAGCGTATATGAATATTATGTAATGAATAATATGATCGATAACAATTCGATTGATGAATAAATGGTTTTCATAATTAAAAATAAAAATATCTAAAAAAAAACATTAAAATCGTTATACTTATTAATATATTAATATTAATAGGTTAACAAATTTTTTCTAAGTACTCAACAATATACTTAACCTACATATAATATATTAAGATATTCATTAATAATTATATACTGCATTTTGGTTATTTTTATTTGAAAGCATCCATGTAGTTCGTATAAGTTTCCGGAGTTATATATTGAATTTATATTGAAGTAATTTATTGTTTTTGAATAAAAATAAAATTAACATAATAATAATTATAAATCGATGAATAATAAATGTTTTTCAATTGTCCATAATTTACCAACTATCTTTACAATGTGGTATCGTATAAATAAATGTGATTTTTATGTGAATTGATTGTTTAATTAATTAATTATTGAAATCGAATAAGGTTACTGTTTTAACATGATCACTTTTTCTCTATTGCATGGATATATAATAATTCATTATACTGATTATTAAAGAAAGCGCTATAAAATCGCTATAATCATGAATAAATGATTTAAGAAAGACTTTTTAATAAAACCAATAAATATGATATTTTTTTATATCGTTTATTATTATTTAAAGTTAATTTCTATATTTCATTTTTGAATACACTTTTAGTTTCCCATCCATTTTATATAAATAAGATAAATAACATAAATTACGCGCGCTTGTGTGCATTAATACAATACATTAGTTTATTAATTAAATTAAGGGTTTTATTGTTATTATTGTTCATATTGTTAATGCTGTTGTTTATTTTATTGTTTATTTTGGTTTTTTATGTACTAACTAATAATTACAATATTTAATAATCAATATAATAAAGTCAAATATATATTCAATATTAAATTTACATAAAATAATATAATAATAGTTAAAGTATAATTATAAGTTATATATACAGTTTATCTTTTTTCTAAATTAATTTTTAATTTTACTTAATAGATTAGATGGAAAATGGAAAATCAACCAGTCCAAACCTTTCTTTTAAGGTAAGCTTAGACAAAGTCTATATATATGTATGTATATGTATATGTATATGTATATATATATATATACTAAATATGTACTTTATATTTCTATTAAATAAAGGAATTTAATTAAAATTTTTAATACTTATTTAACTACCTATGAAATTTGTGAATTATAAATTGTAAGATATAATATTTTGTAATAATAATTATTTAATATCTTCATATAGTAATGAAATTGTAATAATAAATTAAATTTTAAATTACTAGTTTTTAAATATTTTTAATTTCATTAATTATAGTAAAATTACAAACTTATCTGTATCTTTATTGAAGGTATAAAAATAATATTGGCAATCATTATTTATGTTAACGGTTATTACAATATTAGATGAAATATGACCTATATTGTTATATCATTGTTTATATCATTGATTTTATTATATTATTATTATTGTTACTGTTGCTAATGTTAAATATTATTTTAATATAGAATATATATGAAATTGTAACAAGCATTACAAAAAATACAAAAAAATTTTCATTTCAATTAATATATCAAATTGATCTGTAAAAATGCCAATTATATTTACTTGATTATAGGTCCGCCAGTTAGGAAGATCAGTATGAGAGGTGAGTCGCAACATCAACTTAAATCTTACTAAAAATATCCCTTAATAAAATTGAAAAGAAAGATAAAATGAAATTGGTTTGAGTAGAAGGCAAATGCTAACAGCAAATAAAAATCAATTGCACCGTATTTGTTGCTTTTTCTCGCACTTTCACAAGCTACAGCTTGCTAGCGAACTTAACTTCCGGTGAGTGTAAATAGATTGTTCGTGTCTCTGAATTTGGCGCCAACCATTATTCCATTGCGTCCTCAACTTGTAACTCGCAAATTTATCCATCGTCGCGCACTACTCAAAATAACTCCACAAAGAATTGCGACGGATGCGATGCACACTGTACCCACAAAGCCACCCACGCCCGGAAAATCAACCGAATAATGCATTTTCTTGCGAATATAAAAGAAGAAGAGCGAATAAAAAATAAAAATACCTTACGATTAAAAGAAATATAAATACATCACAATTGCTAGAAGGATTAATATTGTATTAATATTACTTTTACCATGCTTAATTTAACTCGTTAACGCTTACGATTTTATTATTTAATATTTTGATTAAAATGTATATTTAATTTTTTGTTACAAATATGTATATTAATTTATTATAACATACGCATATGCTTAAATAAATGCAGCTACATATATTACATTTTAAGATACAATAAATCAGAATGTATCAGATGTGTACGAGTTGTATTATCATTAATTCAAATATTATACTTTTTATGCCTATAGAATAATTTTGAGGAACCTATAATAATACGTTAAAGAATAGGTAAATTGCCACTTTTGCATGAATAATTACATTGCATTATATTATAGATTCATAAAATAAATAATTAGGCAATGATTCCTAGTAATAAAAAAATATTATTCCATATTTAATTTTAATTTACTTAATGATAATAAATTATTTCCATTATAAGATTATATACATATTGGTAAAATCACCTTATAAAGATACCCAAAAAATGCTAAGGATACTACGATACTATTATAAGTATGAAGAAATAGAAAAACTTATAATATATGAGAAATATTTTAAATGAAAATCAAAGCTTGAAAATATGACAAAAAACAAATTTTTATAAACTTTGCCTGAAACTTTTTAAAATTTTTTCATCTTTCTTTCTCCCCGCTCCTTCTTCCTTATTTCATTTACTTGCAATCTTTGGAAATTTGTATTTTTATAGATATGCAGCTAACTATTCGGCATTTTATTTATATAACAATTATTTCGGCATAACGTACATGTTTATGTAGATATAAGTAAATTCTTAAAAGTAAGAAAGTCCGTGAAACTAAAAAAAAAGAAGCCTTTAAGAAGAAAGAAATATATAACAAGTATGAAATTTTATCATATAGGCAGATATTTTTGTTGCTATACTTATTTGCTCTAGTAATTCAAAGAAAATAATTTTAAGAATTTTAGTGAAATTAAAAAAGGAAAATATATTATTAGATAGCTTATTATAAAGGCATAAAACTTCTTTCTAAAGAATGCATTTTTTTTCTATTTTTATTCAATTTTTATTTTAAATGAAAAATAGATGAGAATTAAAATACATATTAGATTTTGAAAATATAATTTTTTAGATAGTATAAAGAAAACAAATATGAATTTAAAAATAAATATCTAAAAAAATTGGTTTATTAACGAAAAATGTTTCATTAATATTATTGTTTAAATTATACATTATTGAATTTGTGATTCCTACACACTATATTTAAACGTCTATATGATTTTTTTTAGTATTTTAATTTTTAAATAATTTGATTAAGAATCAAGCTTTTTTAACGGTATTTTTACTAATCACTGTAAAATTTTATTTATAATTTTATTTACTTTGAATAATTTTTACGTTATAGTAGTATTTAAATTAATTTGAATATATTATAATAAAAATTATCAGGATTATATAATAGTGAAGATATAATATTATAGTAAAATACTTACATTATTATTTGCAACAAAATCTACAATTTATTTTTATTACGCAACATTTTGTAAATAATTTATGAAACAGGCGTATGAAGAAAGTTAAGAAAGTTTATAATTGCTAAATTATTATTGATTTTCGCTTATTGCAAGAAACACATACATTTACACTAATTGAACATTTTTTGTGCAACAATTTTTATTTTTATATTTTATTATATTTACAAAAAAAATTCAGTGTTCATTATTACAATTTGAATCGTTGCATTTAAATCGCACATTATATAAATAGTAACTTAAGAAATGGTATTGAAAATTGTTATAAATTTATAAATTTAGAATTTACTTGAACATATTATTTATTTTACTTTCATCTGTTTTTTAAGCACGGTCAGTTTTCATTCCGATGTAGTGAAATCTTCAACTACTTTTGAAATTAAAAAAGATTTAATTCAGTTCATGCAATTACTTTTTAGTTTTATTTTGAATTATTCAATAATTACTAAAGTAATATGAAAAATATTGTGCAGAACATGAAAAAAAGTAGATGTCTTTCACAGCTTAAGTATAGAATTTCGTATTATTTTCTATACAGTGTTTTTTTAATAACATATAAAAAGGCGAAGGAAACCAATATATACATTAATTTATATATCGTATAAGATATCGTATAAAATATCGTATATACTCGTACATTAAATACGAATCACTTTTATTAATACAGGAGTAGAAATGATTCTTGTACCGATTTTCAGTCATCGACGTTTTTTTAAGAATGGCTTACAACTTTTTATGTTTATAAAAGAATAAAGTTCATTTAGTGAACATTTCAAAGAACATTTACTATTTACGTTGCATCTTAAGCATAGCTAGAGATCTGTTTAATTAATTTGAAAAAAATAAACTAAAAAGAAAATATTCATCAGTATAGCAAAAACGATTATAGGATACAAATGATATTAGCATATTTTATAAATGAAAGCTAAATGAAACAGAATTTCAATCAAAGTTTGATCGAGTGAATTATTTGATATAATTAGTATCCATTTCAATGTACTAGACATTATTGAAAGTGATTTTCTTGTTAATTTTACTGAGTATATTCAAAATATATTCTCCTCCCACAAATTAAATGCGAATATTCAAAAGTTACTAATGTAGATTTCCGCGTATTTTATATAACACACGTAAGAGAAAACTTCTAATTTAAACTTAATATTTTACATATTACCCTTTTAATCCGTACAATTTTCATAAATGATGTGTATATTAAGCACTATAAAATTTGTTTAAATACAAATATTATGTTACTTTGCCATAGTTTTCTTAATATAAATGATAAATGGAATTTTTAAAGATTATTATTAAAAAAAAAAGTATTTTATTATTTACAAAAATTAAAATTAGTGTAATTATAAAAAATTACGTCGAAATATCAGTATTATATCTAGCAAATCTTAATAAATTCTACTGTAAAAATAACATATATATTACAGATTAAAATATAAGATAAATATTTAGTCAATTGTCATAATGGAAAATTATCAAGTGAGTCATTTTACAAATTCCATGTAATTATTACCTGTCATCTGAAAAAATATAGAATTCATAAAAATTACTTCATCGACATACACCATTTGTATATTACAAATTTTTAAAAAATCTCTAACAAATATTTTATTATTCATTATATTCGAATAAAATGTTAATCTATTGATTTTAACTGCCTTTAAATAATCTTAAATAAAAATGGTATGGCTTGAAATGTACGAATTATAGAGATTTGAAGTAAAACAATAAATTCTAATAAAATTAAATTTAGTATTCAAAAAAAAAGTTTTAATTAAGAATTATCAATATTTTAAAGTTAAAAAAATATTAAGTCGTACTTCATTCAATTCAATATTTTTAAATATAACAATTAATTACTGTGAAATATTTTCAGTTTATTTTCCTTATATCCAATAATTAGTATTTTAAGCATAAGAAAAATTCATATGTATAAAAACTTTGCATGAGCATTATACTTGTTTTTTTTTTTTTTAAGTCTATCGATATTTTAAACTATACATATTACAATGCCTATAAAGTAAAAAATATATCTGAATACTTTATAATGGAACTAGATAAAAAGCAATTATAACAAGAGGTTAAATATAAATTGATTATTGAACAAGTTTAGAGTAACACGCCAAGCGAATAAATGTATAAAAAAATATTGTCTCTGAAAACTCTCTGAAACCAGGATTTAAATTATTATTATTTTTTTCTCTTAATTACATTAAAAATAAAGGTACGGCCGTTGGCATTGTCGGAGCATCGAGGGCCAATCGTGGCTTTCTGGTTAGGACTTTAGCCTTCGTCTTCCTCGCGACGTTCCTATGGCTGCAGTTGCACGTTATTAACTTGACCGTTCGCGATTGGTCAAATCAACCAGTCGTCAATGAGAGTCTTTACGCCCTTGTACCTCAAGAATTACATAGGTGAGATAATTATTTAATGTTTTTGTTTATTCTTTTGCTTACACGTAATGTTTCTGTTTTACACATGGTTGTACAATATTAAAATATTTGCGCACCAAGTATTATATAAGAAAAATGTTAAATGTTATAAATGTTATAAATTTTGATAATACTTATAATTCTTAAACAACAATTACATATTCAGATATGTAGAGTGTAATTTTACCTACAAGTAAATAATGTAGTATCACAAAAAATGATACTAACACTTAAATTAATACTTGGATAAATTATATAAATTGAACTTAGGTAAAACTAAATTTTGCTTTTATTATTGCACGATATGTAGTAAAATGACAATTAAATTTATTTACGAAATGTGAATATTAATTAATTTGTTATTTCATGCATATGCATTTATGTACAAATAATTGATTAACACAAAATATTAAAGCACAGTTTGTATTATTTTTATAATTAATATATGAGTTTTTATACTTTAAATGCATGCAAATTTCAGTACTATTTAGTTCTTTCAGTATTATTTTTATTAGATTAATAGATCTACTTAATTGCAATTGAGAGATAATTTGGGAACTTAAAGTGTATTTATATTTGTTAAGAGTAAAGGATTAACTAGTTTTATAATCTAATATACTAATCTTATTTTTAAATAAAAGAAAACTTCCAATCATAATAAAGTGATAAAGATTTCAGTAATTTTCAAGCATATTTACTAACATATTATAAAATAATTGTAGTATTATCAAAGTACTCTTTTAATATAGATTTTTTTAGCTCAAGGCATTTTAATTCCCAATCTTCCTTATACTTGAGGTGAGTGAGTAACAGCTTTTAATTTATTCATTATATCAGCACATTCATTTTTAAACAAATCATAGTGCATATCGTAAATAATATATTACCTTAAAGATTTTTTACTTAATTAAACGTTATAATTCGAAAGTACAATAATTATTATACATTAAAACAGTTATTAATGCTCATTGCTAATTAATGTTAGAAAAATTTCAAGAATTCATTAAAATTATATGATCGTTTTCTTTGAGATTTTATTAAATTTATTCAAAATAAATTTACAATCATCACGATTGATTATAGATCAATGCATCACAACATGTACATAATCAGAAAAATAATTATAAAATAAAAGAAAGAATAATAAGATTAATAATCAGAAGAAAAAAAATAAGCTCATTTATTATATTTTATTATGTGACACTACTCCATAAATCATATTGTGTATAAAAAGGGTTAATTTAAAATTGATCACTGTTTATTTTTTTGTGAAAAATATGTGCAGTTTACTTATTTATTATTTGAATAAAGAAGACTATAAATAATTTTTCAACTTAATTTTATAAAGAATTAATACTATTTCTAAATATGAAAAGCTTATTAATTAGAAGAATTTGAAAACTGATATTGTACTGAATAGTAGTATCCACGGTCGATTACTAACTTTCAACTACGGGGAAGCAGTGAATAGTCTTAATCTATATACATTTAAAAAGTTTAAACGAAAAGATTATCCAAAACAATAAAAGCATGACATATTATATATCAAACAATACTATATTACTAAAATCAGACATTGTAGAAGAAAAGTATAATAATGAAATTATAAAAATACGGATAGAATAGGAAAAAGATAATATATAAAACTATATATTAAAAATAGAAATGATTATTTATAGGTAAAATTAATCAATTATTTTGTATATTTTACAACTAAAAAATAATATGCGCTACTTAATATAGAAAATAAATAAACATTTGTTTAAATAATAACTATTTCATAATTACTAAGTTTTATTAAATTGTTCAATAATTAATAGATTATAATTATTTTTGACTAAAGAAATATATATAATATACCACAAGTGTGTGTTATTAGACTAAAATGATATTTGCAATGTTTATATTTTGCAATAGCTTACAAATAACACAATGTTTATAATTTTTAAGTATCATGAAAATGAATTGATGTAATCGGATTGAGGATAAAGAAGTAAATATTTTCATATAGTAAAAGTAAATGGATAAATGATTTCAATTCACAAACACGTTGAACGTGTATTCAAAATCTTTAATTAATAATCATAATGTACTGAATTACAGATTTTTGAAAGAACGCCGTAACAATACGTACACTCAAAGCTTCATAAACGGTACACTAGTGGCATCTGGCAGTGTTGGCAGTAGTGGTAGCGATGATATAGGTGAGCGCGAAATCGCTGAGATCCGACGTCAAGTTGAGCGTGTCAACGCGGAACAACGTGTCTTCAATATTGAAGCTTTTGGGCCTCTTGCCTCTGATGTCCCAGTCATTGTCGTCCAGGTGCACGATCGGCTTACCTACCTACGTCATCTCATTATCTCGCTGGCTCAGGCTAAGGGAATCGAACAGACACTGCTCATCTTTAGTCACGATGTCTGGAATCCAGATATCAATTATCTCATACAAAATGTGGACTTCTGCAGGGTAATGCAGATTTATTATCCGTACAGCATTCAAATGTACCCAAAGATTTTCCCTGGTGAAAGTCCCAATGATTGTCCAAGAAATATGCGTAAAGAACAGTGAGTATGAGACAATATTCCAATTTCTTAAAAGGAAATATTTTGTTAGTAATATATTCAAAGTAAAAGAACATTACTAGATTAAAAATAAATAATTTTTGTATCAATATATATATATATATATATATATATTATATAATAGCTATTAAATGCATACGCAATGAAATACATACATATGTATGCTATTTGTACAAATAATTGAGATATTAAATAATCTAGCCAAGCCTATTTATTTTTTTACCGTTAGTTAAAAAGTTTCGTTATCGAATGAATTATTGTTAACATGTATATTATGTATGTATACTCGTGTACACATATATTTATAAACCTTTATAGGTAAAGAAACTTTTATTATTCTAAATATATCTACTTAAAACTAATTCAGAAAGTTTATTTTACAGAATAAAGTCATAATTTATGTTTAAATAATGAACAATTGCTTTAATTATTTATGGTATTCATATTTGAGATTAACAATAACAAGAAAAATAATATTTATATATATAATCTATATAAAATATTATTTGATAAACTCAAATTATAATCTTCTATTAATTTTTTCTTACTTAATTTAGATATTATAAAATCTTTCAATCATTTTTTTATATTAATATTATGCTAACTTAAATTCATTGTAAATCATAAAAACTAATGTAATTATGAATTTATTAAAAAAAAAAGTCTTGTGCTAATAGCAATTTTATACTTTATGAAATAGTAAGTAATATAAAATTAATTTAAAGTAATTAGTTATGTAGTTATATTTGCCTTGAATTTTAATATAATATGTAACTTTAATGAGTAAGAGAAAAACTGAACCCTTATGATTTATATTTTGAAATTTCATTAGTAATCATTTCAATATTTTTTTGCGAACTTTAGTCCATTCTCCTTTTCTTGCTGAAGTAATTGAGACACTTTTATAATTGAATCCGAATTAAGTATCTCACTTTATTGAATTTAAATCCTTGTAAGATTAAATTATGTATCCATTTGACTAAGATTTTTATCTGAAATACATTCTTTAAATCTTCTGGTACAATGACTTTATTTTTTTTCCTTTTTTCTCTTTTTTATCTTTCTTTCTTTTTTTTTTTTTTTGTTTTGTTCATTGTTTTCTAAAATATGTATTATTGTTTTTTCTCTTTGGTAACATAACTTGAAATTTCAAGTTGTGGACCTTATTACCTTATTACGCAGCATAGACTATGAATATCTTGTTTTTCATCATTATTGACAATGGCGATTTTTTATAACATCTTTATTTAATATCAATTTTAATCTTGCATATATTATTTAACTTTTCAAGAAGTAATCACAGAATTAGTAACAATAATTTTATTACTGCTTTATTACTACCTTATCAGCATTTTTACCGCAATCATTTATGTAATTACGTATTTTGTGTTGATGTAATGTTTTTATTAGGTATTTCGTTTTCAATTTTATCAATTTGTGTATATAAGTTTCAAAATGTAAAGATATGCAAATATATAATATTAGTAATATAAAAATTGAATGGAACATTATGTAATATTTTAAAATAGTATTATATATAAATTTGTGACTCTTTATTATTTATAATCGTCAGATACATGTAATAATAAAGTACGGATAGCATAATTGTTATCGATTAACGCTTATAAGTTATTTTCATTTTTGTCAGTTAGACATTTTGCATATAAAAAAACTTCATATTTAGTTTTTTTTTTTTATTTAGCAGAGCCATTTTATATATGTTTTATCTTGTCGGTACTAAGTTGCGAAAAATTCTTTGAATACCTGCTACATATTTTCAATATACACATACTGGTGTATGCATTTGAAATTTTACATATTTCGTGTAATTATATTATTTGAAATTATTAATTACACAAAGCTATTTGTTTTTATAATTTATGAACAACGTATAGTAAGTAATGCACATCATAAAATAAAAGTTACATAGTATATGAAGATTTAATTTTGAAAGTAAATGAAACATTGAATTAATTAAATATTTCACATATAAATTAACTTAATACGCGAATTCAGTGTACAGAGAGACTTTATTGCCTTAGTTAAATGCCTATATGCGTTTGCGCTATGGATCTATATTGTAAAAACATTTTATTGTGTGTACGCGCATGTGTATTATATACATATTTAGATCCAAATTGTCTTATTAGATTGCAAGTAAATCTGTTGCAGGTTGATAAAGTATTATGTGCTACGAAAATATGAAATACTCTTATAATAAGTACCACGTTTCTAGTGGCTTGTGGCAAACCTTTATAACAAACCACAAAAATGTTGCCGATTGGTAGTTCAGTCTCCATAATATTCTCCTTGACATCTTATATCAGTATAAACTGATCTCACACTTTTATATGAATATATATTTGGAATCGTAAAATTCATAAAATTCAATTTAGATCGAAGTTACTTTTATCTAAAGAAAATTGAAAAATTTGAAGTACTAATCACATTGAAAATATTTATATTTATAAAAAAATCGTCATTCAACATTTTGTTACCAAATTTTTCGAAAATTATAAATTATTTATGTGATTCATACTTGTTTTGTAAAAGCTATACCTTTATTTTTAAAATGATATCAATGACTAAATAAAAATATTTTAATTGACTAACTAGTATTAATTATATTACTTGCATAACCAATTCATAAATAATCCTATATTCATAATATTCATATATAAATAAATATTCATAAATAAATGTTATTATATTGATTTTTTTATTATTATTATTTTACCGGTAAATTATTTAAAATTATAAATTTAAAAATTTTGATAATAAATATTGTTAATATTTATATTAAAATTAATAATAGTATGCATGTAATATACTCAGATCTAATTAATGTATGTAACATATGCAGAGCCATGAACTTGGGCTGTACTAATGCTCAGTACCCTGATTTGTATGGACACTACCGAGAAGCTAAATTCACGCAAACTAAGCATCACTGGTGGTGGAAAGCGAATCGAGTATTCGATCAGCTTACTATTATGCGCAACCATACCGGTGTAGTTCTGTTCTTAGAGGAGGATCATTACGTCGCCGAAGACTTCCTTCACGTACTAAGACTCATGGAGCATACCTGCAGGCACAGCTGTGAACGTTGCAATGTTTTGTCGCTTGGAACCTACCTCAAAACTTACAATTACTACGCAGACTTCAGCAAGAAGGTAGTACTTTAGTACATTCTTAAGGTTTTCTTTTTGTTTTTTTAAGACATACTTTTAGAGCTGATGTTTTATTTTATGCCCAACATATTCTACATATTTCCCATGGGGGGTAAGCAATTGCTGTCATTTTGCTTATCGATTAAATTGCAAATAATAGTTTTAATATTTGAAATTTCGGAAACATAAATGAATAAATAAAATTCAATTATTATTTATTGTTAAAATTTTCAATTTTAAAATAAAATACAATAAAATTTTATTGTGAATAAGCGTAATTTGAATATTTTAAATAGTTAGGATCTTCAAATTACCTCAATCGAATATAATATGGCATTAATTATAATTGACTAAGTGAAAGGGAAAAAAAATTATAGAATTGAGTATTGAAAAATTTTGTATGTATAAAATCGAAATTTAAAAAATTTTAATTAGCCGAGCCTATAAATTTATTTTTATCATTGTGTTCGATGCAACATGAAAGACATACTAAAATTATTTTACAATTTTATCACATTCAATTCTGTTGTATTTGCATTGAAAATTATCTTATAAATTATAATAGAATCAGTAATGAAAATATTATACTTATTTAACAATTATATCAACAAATACATAGCAAAAATCGATAAACCTAATCGATAGCAATTGCAAATAAACTGATCGAAATTGATGTTACAAAAAGACAAAAATTCTTTCACATTTTTCAAAAAGCCTTATGCAATTTATCTAAAAAAGAAAATAACTGTAAATGTGATTTTCAAGAAAATTAAAAGTAAAATTTGTGTACATCTTAACATAATAACTTCGAGTGCTGCAAAATTTGTTATCGAGGGATGTATCTCTTATTAAATATTAGGTCCGATCGATTGGTTTATAAATTGACAAACAGTCCTTAATTTTAGATCCTGCATTCGAAATAATTTGCAACACCCGAAGGTGAACTTTCCATTATAACAAAACGCAAATATACGTCAAACTATCCGCCCATTCTACATCAAGCAGATGCACACGTCCCATGCATACATACATTCACAAACTGACATGCATACATGATATCATGCATATACTTTATAGTGACGTCTTGTTTTCTTAAGAGAGAAATTTTAGAATTTTTCTAAATATTTTGAATTTGTTTTTTTTCTTTAAAAAAAAAAAAGAGAAGAACTTTAAGAAAGTTTTGAGTGTATGAGAATCATATTTCAGTGGCCGATTTTACAATTTATAACCACTTACTCAAAAATTCAAGTTAATACTATTAATATTTATTCGTAAGAAGAAAGACAGTTGTTTTATAATATATTGAGAAAGTTATTATGGCTTAATTCACTCAATGTAAACGAGAAATCTCGAAAGTCACTTTTCTTTTAAATTTCTTCTATTTCATATATTGCCTTTTCACGAATGAATTTTAATCGTAAATTTAATTTGCGTCGAGATTCTTTCGCTTAAAAATGCAGGCTTTCAACGCAGCTATCCACAGCAAAGTGATTCGGTCCGATACACTGTTAAATTTTCACACCACCCATGGAAAGAGATGTTTGGCATTTATGAATAAATTTACGAATAAAAGTCAATGATTAATTGTCTCAAATTCAAAATATAAAGGAAGTAACAAAGTTATGCATTCTTAAGAAAAGGAGAAAATTAAAAAAAAATTTAAAAAAAAAAGTAAGTGCACGAAACAGTAGAAGGAGGTCCTGCGTGACGCTTACATTAGTAAAAGTGAAGGAATATGTGAACGTAAAAAGTATCTGGGATTGAATGGAGCACTGCAGAAGGAGCTGCTCCGGGGTTTGAAAAGGCAAGAGTCGGCGAGCGGCGGTAGCCCGATCAGGCAAGGCCAAGAGGGTGACTCGACCCCCTTATCGAATCGGGGCCAACAGCTCGCGTCTGCGCCTTCATGGGCCTATCAACTCCTGCCCGGCCTCTATCAGCATTATCAAAAGGTTCATTTCATTAGAACTTTCAATCTCAAACTCTACTTCTTTACCTTTCTCTGTCTTATTGATACTTTTCATGAATTTGCTAAGGGACCATGGTGATGGCCTCGACGATGACAATAACTATGACGATGACGAGGACGAGGACAACGGCAACTATTATGATTTCTCGATCAGTTGCATTTACTTTTCAATCATTTTCGTTTCGCCTTTACATTTTTCTTAATTTAAACGTTTACCCCAGTAGTCGTATACATATATCGGGATCAATTGATTTTTAAATCTGGTAGACAATGTACTTTTTAGTTGTAAGTTTTTTCGATTGTAAATTATGTCAGGATTAGAGATTATGTAAGGTTTATAAAACCAAATTATTTTCAAATTTTGTAATTATTAATTTTCCTAATTCTAAGTGCAAATAATCGAGCGCAAATGCTGTGAAATAGGACTACTCAACACAGATGTATAAGAATATAAAATTTAAGAAATTGAAATAAAATATTTATGATTACTTGAATTTATGTAAATTTTAAACTTGCATTTTAGAACTGAATTTTATTTTGTAAATTTTCTTTCCAAATTATTTCTCTTTAGAAAAATTAATATTAATCATTCATCATTCTAATGAATTTTTCACATGTAAATATCAAGAGAAATATATAATTATGTAAAATATTAAAAAATATAAATAATGCTTAGAAATACTAGTTAATACTAATTATGAAGAAAATTATTAAAATATTACCGCATGTATTTGTATACATATATTATATTTTATCAGTATGCAAAGTAAAATAAAATAGATATAAAGATAAAATATAATACAAATAAAGTAAAATAGAATTTCTATTACGTTAAATGACAAATGGCAAAATACTACAAGTATAGAGTATTAAAAAATACATTTCAACAAGACAAAATAAAATTTTATTTATTTCAATGATAAAATTATTTCAATATGTTATACAAATTTACAATATTTATAAATTTCTAATTAGAAAAAATATTTTTTTTAAATGCCTATTCTTGTATTATGAATATCCATTAGAAATGATCCGATATTATATCTTATAACAAAATATTCATAAAAGAACTAATGCACAGGAAATATAAATAGAATTTTTTAATACTTTTGATAAAATAAGAAGTTTTAATAGCTAATAGAATTTAATTCGAATATACTTCTTATTGCACATTAGGTAAGAATATTATTTTATAATATGTAATTATATTATACAATTCATTTAATCATAAGCAAATTTAAATTGTTGAAATTGTTATTAAGTGAAACATTAATTTAAATATATTTATATAAATTATTCTTTCTCAATGCTCGTATTATTATTATTGTACTACTATTACTACTACTACTACTACTACTACTACTACTACTACTACTACTACTTATGATTCCCCAGACTCGATAGGTTTTAGTTTTGTTTTATATACTTTTATTTTACGATGAAATTTATGTATTTTATATTTTATTATATTAAATACAATATTATCTAACTATATATAAACTTTTCTAAATATATTCTCATTATTAAAGAAAAATATATATCTATTAGGAACTATAATTAATTGTGTTTGATTTTATATGATTAATAATATTATATAAAGACGTTTAAAGGAAAGATTTAAAATGTGATTATGTTATATACATTTGATTAATTTAATAATACATAAAAAAATATACCATAAATATTTAAGTATATTTAAATATCAAGGATACTGTATAATATCTTTTCTTTATTCTAATAAACTAATTGTATATACTAATACTATTTTATTATGACATTCGCATGGTTATAGTCTGTATTAGTAAAAATTTAGTTATTCTGTAAATATTATATTTAATTCTATTTTTTATTCAATGGTTTCGATGTCTACTTTAGTTAAAATGCATGATCTTAGTTAATAGTTAAAACAATGATATATTATAGTATATTAACTTAGTCAAATATTTGTAGATAAAAATAATATAGGTCTATATTTATGATTTCAAAGCTATTAAATGTTATGTTAAATGTTAAGTATTAATTAAGATTTACCGCCATAAACAATGAAATAAAACAAAAATTATTGTACATATTATTTTAAATATAATTCGAAATTTCGACCATGTCTATTATTAATTATATATACCTATATGTTCATGCGCAATCACACGCCATACACACACACACACACACACACATTATATATATATATATATATATATATATATATATATATATATATATATATATATATATATATATATATATATATATATATATATATATATATATATATATATATATATATATATATATATATATATATATATATATATATATATATATATATATATATATATATATATATATATATATATATATATATATATATATATATATATATATATATATATATATATATATATATATGAGTACGTTGTGATTTCTTGATTTAAAGTGTTATTTTTCAATGATTCAAAATAATTAATAATTAAACAATTGTTTTAAATATTAAATTATTTATCATATTTTTTGTAAAGAAAATTTTTTTGTGGATCCTTAGATTATTCTACTATATAAATAACTTAGACACGATGATCTTACTTATATATAAAAAAAATTAATGATTTTTTTAATTAAAATAATCAGATTTTATATTGCATGGAGATGATAAAATTCAAAACATTTGAATAAATTGATACAAATTTTCTAAGAAAAATAAATTAATAATATATCGCGATATGAAAGTAAAAAGCGAAAGTATTGTCGATACACTCAGCGCAAAGATTGTATCGAATTACAAATATAAGTATAAGAAAGACAATTGAATAATACGTTTGTTTTATTGTAAATTAGGCAGAAGTGATACCGTGGATCTCGAGCAAGCATAACATGGGAATGGCCTTGAATCGGGCGACGTGGGAGAAACTCCGAAGGTGTGCAGCGCAATTCTGCTTATATGATGACTACAACTGGGACTGGAGTCTACAGCATGTCGCTCAAACCTGTCTTCCTCCGAGTCGTGGAGCCGGCGTTGCTCCACGGGTTGATTCTGGCTTAATCACTATGATGATGCGTGCACCGCGTGTTTTTCATATCGGCGAATGGTTCGTATCTATTATTTATTATTTTAGTAAATATTTTATAAAATATTATATAAAATTATTAGATTATAAAATAATGTGGCTATGATTTTTGAATGAATATTCAAATATAAAAATTTAACAAGAATATAATCTTAATATTTTGCTTACAGTGGTGTTCATCACAAGAAAGAAAATTGTGAATCGACGACAGTTATAGCGAAGATTCAAAAAGTCCTTAGGTCAGCCCAAAACAATCTTTATCCTTCGCAATTAACTCTCACCGTGGCCAGCATTTCAAAAAGGACGAAACTGCGAAAAGGCAATGGCGGCTGGGGTGATGTGCGTGATCACGAACTTTGCCTCAACATGACGGCCTTACCAGAGCTTCAGCTACTCTCTTAATGCCTAGTCAATGTGTTATCTATAACAATATAGAAACGCTTCTTTCGTATGCATATTGTGAATAGATAAATAAAATAATTTTCAAGCAACATAAACAATAAGAACGAGGGCTCATGTGCATTTTTAATCAGCAAGTGAATCGTACAGTAAGGTAATTTAGCTCTTGAGCGACAAGTTATTTGAACTTTGCACACCACTTGAGACTTGTTATATAACATAAATTTTTAAGTTATTAATTAATTTTAGTAACTTACGTGTCGTTGACTTAAATAAATTCCGTATATATTTAATTTTCAAAATGTTACCAAATTATGATTTATTATATATTCTTTAATTAATTAAATTATGCTCAACAGACATTCCAAAAATGTTATAATATTTTATTAAACAAAATATATATAATTTGATTTTCTGAGTTTAAGACTTAAAAAGTATAGTCCTTTTTAAAAAAATACATGATTTTGTAATATTTGAATATTAAATAAATAGTTTCTTAAGGTGTCGATTGAAGACCTTATTCTATATAAGATTCACACTAGATTTCGTATTTTTATTAATGCTTGATATAATTGCTTTTAACTTATAAAAAGAAAATAGTGACTATTTAAAGTCTTTCCAATATTGAAAGAAAATAAAAAAGAATTTTAACATTGAATAGAGTACTATATGAAACCAATTTTAATTAAGTTTTAATTATTGAATTATATTTTTGTTTATATGGATTATAAAATAAAGCTGTTTAACTGTGATCTTTTAAGTCATAGAAAAATGCTTAATGTTATACAAAACTTCAAATTATTATTTTAATTTTACTTATCGTTAATAAAAGAAGAATGTGATTTTTTGTGTTATGATTCAATATTAAGTTCTAGCATAAAACGCTTCTGTATTTATATATATAAAGGCGACCATTGTGTATTAATGCCAGTAAATTATTAATACCATTATGAGATGAATGAAAATATATTTAAAAAAAATTATTAACAATATCTTTTAAAATAGGTCTTATGTAGCAAATGAAAATTATATTTATTTCTGATTATAAATCATAATTTTTTATTAAATCTACAATATCTTCTTAATTAAATTATATCGATAAAATTGACGTATATGAATCTTTTATTAAAAATTATTTTTGCAACGAGTGTTTACTTTTAATTTATAAATAATACATATGTATAAAAATATTTAGAACATTTTAATAATAATTTTAATATATTTTATCTATTTCTAAATTAAATTTAAATTAAAATTTAGCTATATATTTAGAAATGTATACAGAAGCATTTAACATTTTTGTTTCCTAATTAAAAAAAGACCATATACAGAATAATATCCACTTGATAGAAAGTGTTGTTAAGTCGATTCATTATGCACGTTTTTATCAATTTTTAATAAATTTAATATTTAACTTAATATTTTGATCCATATATCTAGTTACATTGTAAAATATACTAATATAAAATTGTGTTCAATAATTCATTATTATATATGCCTTTTATAAAGCGCAAATTCGTACACTGAACTGTTTCGTAATATCAAGTGAGTGAATGAATTAAATCGAATAAACTAATAGTCATATCTAAGATGTTACAACTATTAATTTTTGGTTATTGCAATAAGATAATTTGTATAGATTCCGAAGAATGTTATTTTTGTTTATTTATACATTGTATTGCTTAAATTAGTGCAAATTTTGAAAGTTATGTTAAATCATTAGTCAAATGTAATTTCTGATAGGCAAAATTTTATAGCAATATTAAGTTTTTATATTTGATATAAATAAATTATTAATGTTCCTCGATACAAAGTATAATAAAAACTTGTTTACTTATATTGTTAAATATTTTGCATTTCACATAATATTTATAAAGGTGAATGTATATTTAATTAATTACTCTGAAATTTTATACTAAACACTTTATAGATAAAATTAAAAAATAAATTATTCAAATTTCAAGTACAGACATATGGTTATAAATTAATCCTTTTGTCAATTAAAAATCTTTAATTGTCTTTAATTTTTATTCTATAATTATAAGTTGCTAATCAGAATAATTTTTCTGAAAGTATTAAAAAATATTTAAAAAATCTTAAGTGAATTTCATTGAGTAACGAGAACGATCTTTTTGAGCTTCAATCAATATTATTTTTATATTATTCTAGAGTATATTATCGTAAGAAATGAAACTTTCAAAATTTGTTTCATTGTCATCACATTATAAATATATTTCGTTATATTTCAATAAATTTTTAAATTTATAAAATACTATTTAAAAACAATCCATTTATAAAGAATAATTTATTTTCATTGGCTTCTTAAATTCATGTCACTTAAGAATTTCATTGTAAGTTGCTCTTTTTTTAATCAAAATTAGTAATTGTAAAAAAATTTTCTGTAGTAATTTTTATAAAGTACTTTCATTTTTCATAATAAAAATTTTGTTTGTATCTTCTGTACATTTAGTTTGACAGTATCTTTGAATATACAGAAAAACAAGTTATTCACTTTATGGATCAATAATTTTTTTACTTAAATATTAATACTTGTGAGATTAGCATTTTATATACCTGTTATATTTGTTCTTTTTTATCTGTCTTATTCACTGTATTGGTTTTATACTTCAAAATAGTAATTCAAACTAAATTCATTCATAAATTCTTTTTATTTACTTTTTCTTTTAAACCTGTAGATGATACGACCGTTAAATTTGTTTACATACATTTACAATTTTTTTTGCATCCTATTATCTTAAAAATATTGAAGACTATAACTATGACATATCGTCTTCTAAAATTCGAATATATTTGTTGTCATTAAGCAATGCTTAATAAAATTAATAGTGTTATAATGTTATAAAAAATAAAACTAAATAATGTTTACCAAATCATATATTCTATATTAAATTTGTCAATCAGTTAATAATTAAATAAATCACATCGATTCATATCTATTATAAATTTTTTTACATTTTAAAATTATTTGGATAAATCAAGTAGTTTGATATATTGTTCTTAAAACAGAAATTCGTATTTAAAAAATTAACATATCTTATTATGCTGGTAACATTGTTTTATTTTTGGTTGCATTTACACTGGATGAACGTCACGTGAGCATTCATATGACGAAATGGTGATTTGAAATCCCTGATGTTCCATAACGTATTTACCGATCTTAAAAGTATTCGGCACTATATAATAAATAAATCTAAAGTAAAAATTATTATTGAAAATATAATTCTATTAATAATCTTGAATATCATATAATAAATATTTGTATTTTTATATTTCGTCTAGCGAAATATAAGATGTATGTAACAAAAAATGCTTTATTGACAAGTGAAAACTAACCTAATTACTAAATATACTGAACGTAACAATATAATTATTGAAGAAATGGATGTTCAACGACACTCGGTTCATACTTTAGTATTTCGTTCGTTAAAAAGAACACATGATATGTTCTTAGCTAATCAAGGAAATCTCCCACCAACTGATTCAATTTTAGAAAAATTAAAAATTGGAGTAAAAGCGAAAGATTGTTACGGCTCAGTTTTCCAACAAGTTAATTTAAATAATGAAATAAAGAAAAGAAAAGATAGTGAAATAAGTGCATCATCGGAAATTGAACCTTTAAATAATAGTTTAACTATAGTTCCAAGTAATCCTGTACAAGTCGTTGACAATGTTGTATCCAATATTATGACAAATCCAATTAAAAAGACTTTGCCAATAGCTAAACCAAAGTGGCATGCACCGTGGAAACTTTATAGAGTTATTAGTGGTCATTTAGGTTGGGTACGTTGTTGTGCTATTGAACCTGGAAATGAATGGTTTGCTACTGGTTCTGCAGATAGGGTTATAAAAATATGGGATTTAGCTACAGGGAAACTTAAAATTTCATTAACTGGTCATATCAGTAGTGTAAGAGGACTTGCCTTTTCACAAAGGCATCCATATTTATTTTCATGTGGTGAAGATAGACAAGTAAAATGCTGGGATTTAGAATACAATAAAGTTATAAGACATTACCATGGTCATTTATCAGCAGTATATTCTATGGCATTACATCCTACAATTGATGTATTAGTGACTGCTGGCCGAGATTGTACAGCTAGAGTATGGGATATGAGAACAAAAGCAAATGTGCATACATTAACCGGTCATACCAATACTGTGGCAAGCGTTATTTGCCAAGTTTTTGATCCCCAAATTATCACTGGTAGTCATGATTGTACTATAAGACTATGGGATTTGGCAGCAGGTAAATCAAGAGTGACTCTTACAAATCATAAGAAAAGTGTAAGAGCGATTGCGTTTCATCCAACATTAAATATGTTTGCTTCTGCATCACCAGATAATATTAAACAATGGAAAAGTGAAGATGGAAAATTTATTCAAAATTTATCGGGTCACAATGCAATTATAAATTGTCTTGCAGTAAATGAAGATGGTGTTTTAGTATCTGGAGCTGATAATGGTACAATGCATTTATGGGATTGGAGAACTGGATATAATTTTCAACGCTTGCAAGCTCCAGTTCAACCAGGATCAATGGACTCTGAGGCTGGTGTATTTAGTATTACATTTGATATGTCCGGTACAAGAATGATTACAACTGAAGCTGATAAAACTATTAAAGTATATAAAGAAGATAATGAAGCCTCAGAAGAAAGTCATCCTATTAATTGGAAACCAGACATTGTTAAGCGAAGAAAATATTAAATAATATTTATTAAATTAAATTATATATTGAATAAAATTGTGTTTATAAGAAATTGCAAATCTTTATTTTAATTTAATTTAAAAAATGTTATCCTAGCATTCTCGAAAGATATCTTAATTGAATTTCTACCACAATTAAAATTATAATTTATTCCTTTTCAATAAAAATATGTATAATTTATTTGTATTTTATTTGTATTCAAATATAGATATAATGTATACTAATTAAAACTCATTGAATCACATATTTTTGCGCAAGTGCAAATAAAAAATACGTATAACCTATATGTCAAAGTTTGGTGAATCTATAAAGTTGCAGACGTATGTATTTACATTGAAGTAATCGAGATTTAAACCAATAATTTATATGCATAATTGCGAATTGAAAATCTATATTTATTAAAACAATAGTCATAAAAAATAATCTAGCATTCAGTGTACTACACTCAATACGATAATGTATCTTGTTTGTTTCGTAAAGATAAATTGCATTTAAAATCTTATCAAGATAAAACTGATAAATTTCGCTGACGCAAGTAGAAAAGTATAATAAATAGTTTTTTGAGTAGAATTAAACAGACATACTTTTATTAATACGTTTCATCGTTGCAAATTCATTTATTCACATGCTCTGTTAAAATAATCAACAGTTAATTCAATTAATAATTGGCATTTGTTTCTTTTTCGATTTCTGTACAATGTAATTTGTTATTGATCATTATTTCTCATTTTTATTTAAATTTCTCGTTGCAGACCTGCATCTAGTTTTCACCTTTTCTCTATTGAAATTACTATACACAATCATTAATTACAAAAGGCTATAAAAAAAAAAAAACTCAAATCAATATTCAAATATGATATAACCTCTGCTCAAACAATCAAATAAAAAAGTTTCACTGCTATTATTTAAATACTTATGTAAAAATGGCCTGTGAGGCGTGTGCCATTAAATTTACCCTATTCAAAAGAAAAGTGAGTAATTTTTTAAACTTTTTATAGCATTATTAATTAAAAATTAAAGTTTTAGTTTTTGGAAAATCCGAATGATGCTTAAATTAATCAATTAAGCTTGTAAACATTGTTTAATTTATGAATTTTTATATAGAATACATAATTATATATCAATTATTTTTTCTATATTTTATACAAAATTTTCAGAAACAATGTATGGATTGTTTACGGTATTTTTGTACAGAGTGTGTTATAAGACGCTTTGATAGAATATTAAGCTGTGACAACTGCAGTATGCTTTCTCGTAAACCACTCATTAAAAGTCAAATTTTACAGATGCGTTCTAAGTATTTACGACAATATCTTTTAGCAAAAAAAGTATCTGTTAGAGGATGCATAGGTAAAAGATTTATTGTGCATATTAACAATCATTTTTTCAAGATTATGTATAAAATTAATAAATAATTATTTATATTATCAACTTTTTATTTAAAAGTATAATAAAATCTTTTAATAAATGGAGTATATATAATAGTAAGAAGCTTATAAATTAAAGTTAATTTTGTTTTGTTTCTTCATTAGCATTTGATATTTTATATAAAATGCAATATAATAAAACATATTTTATGATTGTATATTTATACAGCAAAATATCTATTATCTTTTAACTTTTTTATCAATTTATCAAATGTGTTCTATTTTGAAAATATTTGTATTTTTATAATAGATGGATATAATATATAGATACATATATTTATTTATTCATAATTTGATTATTTGTTCTGATACAAATTTTAATACCAGAAATAAGTTTGCTTGTAATTGTTCTAAATTATATTTTAATTTACTTACAAAAATATCTTCATCTGTTTTATTTAAGAAAAAGAAGACTTAGTGAATTTATTAATTATTTTTGCAAATGGTGATGAAAGAAATAGAAATTGTGAAAGAGAAAATATATCACATAGTGAAGAAAATGAAAACAGAACGGACTTTAATGAAAGGTAAACAATTAACAATTACAAATTTAAATAACATGTAATTACACCAATCATAAAATTAAAATTTTTTATTTCTTATTTTCAGGCAACCAGATTTTTTTGAACCATCACAAATTCTTGAAGGTTCACCCACTCGTCGTTCTAGAAGTCCACAAGTTAATGAAAGACAGATTGATGAATCTCTTATATCAGAAGAAATTCAGGAAGTGCCAATCAATAGACTAGCACATAATATTGAAATTGAAGAAATTTTAGAGAATGATGACAACATAAATGTAGGACCTGAACCTCTGATAACAGAACAAGAAGAAGTTTCAGAAATATCTCATACTGAGAGTAGTGAAATTTTTACTGAAATACAAACGGTATTTATTAATATATAATAAAACAATACTATAATTGCATAAATTGATATAAATTATTGTAATGCAAGTACAATAAAATTTTTTAGTGGACTGGAAATGTTAAATTATCAGATATAAATGAACAAAAAGAATTAGAATACTTAACTGTTAAACAGTTAAAAGATTTACTTAGTGTTAACAAAGTTGACTTTAAAGGCTGTGTAGAAAGATGTGAATTACTGGATAGAGCTTTTAGATTATGGGAAGAATATCGAAAATCTAGAGAAGGTATAATTTTCTTTGCGCTAATTGTTCATTCCATATATTTTCGTTATATAATTATTTTATATTAAAAAATTAAATATTGACTTAAAATATTAAACAAAATAATAATATTTATTATGAAATTTTTTAATTTGAGTTTTCCTGTAAATTTTAACAACTTTAAAGAAATATTCATTATTATAATATCTAACTACAAGAACTATTTATTTATAAATTATATAATTTCTTGTAATTTTAAAGTAAATAAATTTTAAATATTAAAATTGTATATTTACTTATAAACTATATATAAAATATTTAAATTATTTTTACAGTAATCGAAAAATTAGATGAAGATGCACTTTGCAAAATTTGTTTAGATGCTCCAATTGAATGTGTAATATTGGAATGTGGACATATGGCATGTTGTATTAACTGTGGAAAACAAATGACAGAATGTCCAATATGTAGACAATATGTTGTCCGAGTTGTAAGATTTTTTAAAGCTTGATAAACTATTGTAAGTTGAAAACAGATTAATTGATTTAATAAATTAATTACTAGATCCAATTCGTAACAATGAACACATTATTATTGTTTTAAGTATAAGTGAGATTGTAATTATACTTGTCTTTATATTTAGATATCTCGTGTATACAAATGTAAAAAGTATTAAATTAATAAATTTAGATAATTATATAATAAATAAATCATATTTATTTTAATTGAAATAATTAAAATATTTTTTTTTTAATTAATGGCATAAGTATAAAATCATTCAAATGCATGACAATTCTTGTTCTCAACAAAATAATATGGAAACTGAAAGTGATTCTACTGGTGATTTTGTCACATTATATACAAATTAAATATTATTTACAACCATTTAAACGAATTAATCTGTTTGAACAATGGTTGAGCATAGTGTAATTTGTAAAAAATATATAAAGCTGTTTGGTATGTAAATAAATTTTCCAAACTGCACTAGTGTCTTTTATAAGTATATATAGACAAACATAAATTGTTGGTTATCATCAGTTATATTAATATATTACACACAATTTAAAAATTTTGCAATTATAGAGTTTTGTTGCTAATTCAATTCGTATATTTGTTTTCGTTATATAAAAACTGAGAATAAAAAATTAATTATTTCAATGTGACAATAAAATAATATTTCCATATCAATTGTTAAAAGTTATTATAAATGCTGTTACACAAAAATTATCTTTGAATAGGAGGAGCCATTGGAAAACCAGAGCCAGAACTAGATATTGCGGAACTTGGCCCAAGTAAGACTTGTTTCTGATGATTACGTTGTGCTTCTTCCATTCTTGCACGCTCACTTTCAAAAATTATTGGTGCAAATAAAATTGCAGACGAACTAATTAATAACCATGTAACGGAACGCGATAGTGAATAAAATGCTGAAAATATAAAAATTTATTCAGTCAATTATATAATGTACTTTTAAATTATAAGTATTATAATTTAATACATCTATCCAAAATGAAAAATAATAAAATATAACATAACTATTTAAGATATAAAAAATTTGCTTTCCTAATTATAAGAAAATTACTTGTCATATGCTAAAACCATAATATTAAACATTTTCTTAGGTACAATTAACATAATGTAATTTTATTTTAACCTTTAATGTAATCTTTTATATGCACTCCAGTTTGGAAACCAAAATTCCTCACTTTTTCTGGAAACATTTCTGTAAGTCCAACTAATCTTTCTACAAGATTTTCATCCTAAACATAAAAATTAATATTAGATATGAGAAAGATTTAATGAGTTACCTTTAACCAATTTTATAATACTAAAATCTTAAAATTACAGAATGATAGTTTGTAAGATTGTATATAAATGAAATTTTTTATTTTTTAAATCTTAAAGATTGATATAATAATGATAAGTCATTCATATACATTAATTTATAAAATATTCATATATTTTGATTGTGTAATAGAAAGGATCTAAAAAGTCAAAAATCTAATAAACAAACCTCTTCGTTTTCCTCGTCATCATCGTCCTCGTCTGATAATAAAGACTTAACTTCCGAAAGCATTTCGTTATTGCATAAGTTGATATCAAAATCCGGATCAGCAATGATAGCCATGAAAATGCAGAGTTAATATAGCTGCTCTTATGTTTAAAATATATTTTTCTACTTGTTAGTAGATAATGTGATAAACCGGTGTTCAAATAATTTTTCGTTAAAAAAACTCGTCTTTTTTCATAAAACGTGATGAGGAAAAAAGCGAGAATTAACTGACGGTGGTGTGCGATGGTATGTATGCAGAAAACGCCTTGGACAAACAAGAATACGCATGTACTACGATATAAATTCTATGGTAGATTGAATTTTATAATGTCGAACACAGGAATTGAGGAAACTAAGTAATAGAAGTTTGGAACACTTGGATTAGTCCAGTTTTAAAAAACTTGAACGGACAACTTTCGTGAATTACATACTTCATTAATCATACTACAATATTAGTCAAATGCATTGAAGTAGAAAGGTACGAAAAAACATTGAATTTCATGAAAATTCTTTATTATACCGTATCCTCAACCAATAATATATATTACTTGTATTATAAACTATTGGATTAAGTGTTTTTACAGTTTGATACTTGACAATTTAATTGTAATAATAAAGTTATAACCATATTTTATAAATTCAAACTTAAAATTTCATTTCAAAATAATATAATTATAATTGAATTAAAGAATATTATATATCAATACTACAAAAAAAATTTAAATAATCAATATATGTATATACTTTGCCTATAATAATTCTAATGATTATGTATAACTTTAAACATTGACTGTAAATAATATTAAATTATTTTATAATATTAATTCTTAACATCACATAAAATAATATCTATTATTTATTACATTTGTTAATATAATACATTATAAATATATATAAGATGGAATATACAATTAATAGTGGTCCGTTAAGAATGAAGCAATTATTAAGTAATTATTTATAAATTATCCAATAAAGTTTTTTTCTTTTTTACTATATGACATAAATTTAAATATTTTCTTAAGATTTCATCATATTCTGTATTACTCAACACCTCATATGACTTTCTTAATTCAGTTTTTTTAACGATTTCTTCATTAACAGTATTAATTTTTTCTTCTAAATTTAAATTAAGTATTTTGAAAGCATCAACAGTTGATGGTGTTTCTGTGTACATACGTATTGTACAAGATAATTTTGTAATAATAGCTTTCATTTCCGCTATTTCTGATTTGAGTAATAAATTTTCAATATCCTTAGTATTTTTTTCATTCATCTTCCATTTTAATTCATTCCACTGATTTAAAATTTTTAGACAATGAAGTGAGTCTCTTTTATATTCTAAATATACTTCATCAATTTTATCCTTCCAATGAATATTTTCTAATTCTGTTTTTAGTTGAAATCGTGAACATAATATTGATTCGTTATTTTTTAATATATCTTTGGATGATCCTGCAAAATTCGCATATCTAAAATAAAATAATGTAAAAGTTATTTGTTTATTTTTAATAAGTATACCATCAGTATCATTAATTCAAGTATTAACTTACATTGTTATAAATCTATGTATTCTTTCACGTATCTTTGTTTCTAAGCAACTTTTAATTGCTAATTGCTCTTCATAGTTAAATTCACAGTTTGGCAAATCTATAATTCCTAATAAAGTTAATTCTTCTTTTAATTCTTTTGAATTATTTGGAAGATACAAAAATTTTTTTATTTCATGAATTCTAATTAGTTCTTTTAATTTACTTATTAAATTATTTTCAATTAAACTATTTGAACTTATAATAATTTCTTTGAGGCACTCATAAATAAGTTTTAATTTGGCATAATCACACGTACTTTCTTCACAAGAATTAAGAGCTTTATTTACTTTTTTTAACTCTGAAACTTTTCTCAGCTCTGTTCGTTGACTATCATTAGTAAAACTTTTATTGACATCACGACACATGCTGCGCCACTCAGAAATGTTACAAGTTGAGTCAAACTTATAATGTGTTGAACTATTTGTCTTAGAGATTCTTGATAAATTTGAAATTCCTATAATAAAAACAATTATATTTATATCATAAAAAATAAAAATTATTAAATAATGATTTGTCTAAGTAATTTTAGTGAATGTTAGAAATAAAAATAAATTCAGGTTAATCGCAAATTTAATCACCTTTAATTTTTCAATAAAAAAAATTTAATAAATAAATTACCTGATATCAAACTTGAGTCGTCCATACCACTCATGATTCCTAATATGTAAAATTAAACTTAATGAATAATAAATATTGTTTTTTCATTTAAATTTTGACGTACTCTATATATAAAAATAAAATTTAAGAATAATTCAAAATCTAATACTAAGACGCGGCAATTTATTATATTTTGAACTATAACCTATTTTGCTGTCACTTAGTATTACGATCTAATTTTGAATAATATTACCCGTTTTCTGCAGTTAACAATTGCATAAAATTTGGAAAGAATTTAAATAAATAATCATGTATTTGATACAAATTTACAAATACAAAAAGATGCAAAATACAGATAACAAATTAAGAAATATTTTTATTAATAGTTAAGAATTATCGTTATAGTTTTGATTAATTGATTGTATATACTTTGACTAAAGTAGTTTAATTTTTAAATTCATCCCAGGAACAAGTAGGCCTCAGTCCAGATTATAATGTAGTGTATGAATATTAGTGAGATTTGATAGACATTAGATAGCATTTTATTCCTCTTCATAATAAATCTTTAATAATTGCCAAACATGAAAAATATTGAAATAAAAGCCAAAGTGGATAATCTTGATGAGATTGAGAAGAAAGTGAAGGAATTAAGCAACAAACCTGTAATTGTTATCGATCAATATGATATTTTTTTTAATTTACCAATTGCTCAAGCAAATTTTGGTAGTAAATTAAAATTACGTCAATTTCAGGTTTAAAATTAAAATATTTAAATAAAAAATTAAATATTAAGTAAATTTTGAAAAAATATTTTAAATTAGGATAGTACTGGAGAATTGATATTTTATCAAAGACCAGATAGTAAAGGTCCAAAACTTTCAGTCTACTCTAAAATTCAGTTAAGTGGAGATAAATTCCAGGAATTAAAACACATATTAACTATGGCAAATGGAATTAAAGGGACTGTAAAAAAAGTAAGACATCTTTACATAATTGATCAAACACGCATTCATATTGATCATGTTATTGGATTAGGAAATTTTATAGAACTTGAGGTATTATATTGTTTTTAATTTTGTTTAAAATTATTAATGTTAGTGTTTATATATTCTATAATAAAAAATATAACATTTAGGTTGTTTTAGATGATACTGAAGATCCAAATATTGGAAAAGAAATAGCCATGAAACTAATGAAAGATTTTGGTATTTCAGAAAATTGTTTATTATCTGAAGCATATTTGGATATGATGAAATTATGATAAGTTATTAATGTAAATTCTTATGTTAAAATTTTTTTTTTAATAAAACAGCACTATTATTTATAACTTATTTAATGAATTGGTATGTTAATTTCTATATATGTAAATATCTATATTCTATATAATTTACAAATTGAATAGAATATTTATGTATAAATTGTTATAAAATAATTAAATCTCGCGACTTTCTCGTTTATTTATTTTAAGCTTAAATTAAGTAATGGTATATATAATATTAATGTATAAATGTTATGTAAGATATAAAAAAAATATAATTGTTTCCTATAAATTTTTATGAACTTACTACTTAATATATTAATGTATAATCTATACACTTATCAATATCATATATATACAGACCTTAACAAATGAAAAACATTATACTTAATTAAAAATAAATTTATTACATTTTTTTAGTTAACTACTAGTTTTTTGTACTTTCCTTACTTTCTTCCTTTAAATATGTAGACAAAAAAAAACAGACATATATTTATCTATAATTGCATTTTTTTTTTTTTATTCAATACATATTTTAGTGCATCATCAAATTATTAATGAAATATTAAATTTCACGGTCAAGAATCAGCAGATTAACTGTTCTCTACTTCTATCATTATAACTACCCTCTTAGAAGCCATTATATATCTATTATTTTGATCAATTCGATTTTATGGTTATTAGATTCTGATCACGAATTAATTATGTATTCTATATTAATGAACGATTAGCAAGGTTGTTATTTATCATTATTGCTTAGATTATATTTTGTGTCATAATTGCTTGACTGTGGCACTACTTTATCAAATGCAGTTAAATACACGACTAATTTCGCTATCAACAAAGTAAATAACTTAAATATGCTTGTAATTCGAATCACGTTGGCGCTTATTTTATTTTTATAACCGCTCTATTAGCTGACGTTATTCGCTTTATTATTATATTTCAGAAAGAAATTATACAGTGTGGCTGCTACTCCAAATGATTATATATTTGTTAAGAAAAATGTAGGGATACCAGCAGTAAGATTTTACATTCTTATTAATGTTTCCTAAATCATTGGTATATGTAGCTACCGCTGACAGTACGATCTTTAACATCACATTGTACAGGTACTTATTACTTCAGTGTTTCCGAATTTCTATATAATACCGCTAATTTGTTAAACAGGAAGAGTATTAACAAAGCCAGAAAAAGATATCGCAAAATAATGCAGTTAAACAATTAAAATATAAGATTATATTTTCTTATTGCATTACAATGAATTCTTTTATATATACACTTATATTATTAATGTCCTTATTTATAAATAAATTGTGTGATGTAAATAATTTTAAACGTTAGTGACGTTTCGTGGTGTTTATGTTAAAGATTTATATTATTAAGATGACATAATAACACTAGAATGTTTCAAACATTGACAAACATTGAACACTCATTGTTATAAAATTTTAAATTGATGCATGCAGATAAAAATATATGAAAGATATAGATTTTCTTCTTTTTCTTTAAATATCCGAAGTCATTAATTTGTCATGAAACTCATCCATTCCGATTTCATTGGGGGCACTAATATAGGAAAGCATATTATTCTGGGTAATTAATTAATTAATATCAGAAAATCATATGGCTCTTCAAATTTAAATTGCTTCTGCTTAATTTGTATTAAAACTTTGAAAAAAAAACATCAAATTTTAGCAGTAATTAACTCTGGAATACTCTTGCTTTTATAATTGTAATATACTATAAATAATTTCTCTAATGATTCTTTTAATACATTTGTGTTTACATAGCAGTTTTACTTGATTTCTTTTAGAATTAATTTTATGTTGAATTGAACTTTCACGTGTTTTTTAAACTTTTTAAAGAACTTTTCACAACTTTTTAAAGAACGAATACCTGTCAGTTTAATATAGATGAAACTTTATTACCACCCATAATTATTTGTTTTTTATTTATTTAATATAGATGAAATTTTATTACCACCCACAATTGATTTGAATTTGACCATTATTCAATTAGTTTGAACTAATTATTTATTATGTAAAATAATGAAATGGAATTTTTCGTGCTATGCATTTGTAAATGCGAATTTGTAAAATTTATAAAATTTGAAATAATTTAGCTTGATGATAACTGAAAAATAAAAGAGTATATGTAATTAAAATTTTATTTAAATTTCATTATTCTTCACGAAATATATTACAGAATAAAAGATATAATAATGCTATTGATAAATAAAAAGAAGCTATATTATTTCATATTATTTAATATTCCTTATTTTGAAGCTTTATATTAAAAAAAAAAAAATGTTAATTTTAATACATCCTTTTTAAATAATTATGAACAATTTAGATTAACATACATGAGAACAATGTACGTAAAAGTAAGTGACTATGATCAAATATACTTCCATCTTATGTAAATATTTTAATATGTAATACATACAGAAAGTCTATGATAAAATATAGAAATGTATGTTAAAAATATTAACAATTAAAGAAGAGACTCTATTCATTTTTTTCGATTTTGAGAAATTGGAATTAAGAGAAAATAAAATAAATTAAAAATAAATTGTATTTTATGATAGCATATTTTAATTCAAATATTTAATATCTTTATCATATTAGTTGATATATCAACTAATGATTTATTTAATATTTCTCAGCGTGCCTCTAAAAAATGTATTTAAAAATAATGTTTCTAAAAAAAGATGAAAAATCACGTTTAAAAAAATTGTTTAAAGATTTATTATTTATTTTAATTATTATTTATACAAATAATAAAAATAATAAAAGATTTGTTATGTATGTGACTAGTAAGATTTTTATACATTTCTATTAATTGTATTTTTGTTAAAAAACGATTTATGCATACATCAATATAAAAATGGTTTGTTTTTTTTTTATATCTCCAGAGAAAATTGTTAGTTTAATGCATTTCATAATTTAATCATTTTCTATAACAAATTTTTTAATTATTGCAAATGAATAAATAAAATTATATAATGTATTATCTTTTTTAAGAATAATAACTTTTATATGTTTAATATTTGTCGACTTATAAGCTTATATAATTATAAATTAGCAAAACTTGCTTTTTGTTAGATACATTCTTGAAGGAATAAAATTTCAAAGTTTGTTTTTCACAAAAGTGTGGGAGCGTTATCTGTCGTATCATTAAGTGAGATTTTAAATAAGGTTATGTATAGAAGAATCATAATGAATTATTAAATAAAAGTAATTTAATTATTAAATGCAGCATTTTAAAAATATTATATGCATGAAAATGCATATTTGTGAAATGTGTTGATATATTAAATAAATCATAGTAATGGTAAGTTTTTAAAATTGTATTAATAAATAGAATTTGCAGTAGCAAATTTTTCAAGATAACTTAAAAGGAGAAATGCGCAAATATTTACCACTGAAATTTATGTTAAGCATTGTATTATTTATGAATTCGATTATATTCACTTTATTGCAACTTTGTAAACTTTTAGTTGCAGAATTGCAATATACTTGTAAAATGTTCATACACTGTAGAAACATTGATTTTAACCATTATTAATCTTCAACCGTAAGAATAATAAATAAAAGATGGAATCCAAACCTAAAAGCGATCATTTATTGGGATTAAAAGGTATTGCGTAAAAAATGACAATACTTGTAAACCTAGATTATTTTTTTTTAGTACGATTATTATATTAATTTCTAATTAATTTGTTATATTTAATATTGATTTTTAGTAATGAGGCTAATAAGGCCAACATTCGCAAGTCCTACAATTGTAACATGTGATTCTAATGATTTACCTAACAATACATTGAATAACGAATTAAAAAATAATTGTGCTGCTCTTCAAGGAATGGAAACTGTAGCTATTGGCCAATTTATGATTTTACCACAAGGTTTTGGGTAGGTGATATAATAATATGCAATGTATAATTCAATACATTGGTATTGCAATTTCATAATATTTATAATTCTTCTTTTACTTAGTAATATTTATTTAGGAGAAATTTTTTCAAGTTATTTATGTGTACATAATGGAAGTAATCAAACAGTAAAAGATGTGATTGTTAAAGTAAGTAATATTCTATATTTTCAATACATTCAATAATATGAACTAACTAATATCTAAGCTTCTAGGCTGATTTACAAACAAATACTCAAACTATTCCATTATCTGGTCAAAATTCTCAAATCAATGAATTGGCACCAAATAATACTGTAGATGAAGTTATATATCACGAGGTTAAAGAAACTGGAACTCACATGTAATTATGAAATTTTATAAAAGGAATTGTACCACTTTTACATAACATAATTGCTTACTAGTTTAACTGAAACTTGACTTAGTTTACATATTTTAATTATTACAAAAATTTGAGGTAAAATTCTTCAAAGAATAGAAATTGGTATTACAGTTAATTATTTTTCAATCTTATTATTTATGTAGTGTCTTAAAAATTATTGTTACATAAAAATTGATAACTATACTTCAGTGTATATATATTTTTATATATTTTTTTTTATATAAATTTTATATATTTTTAAAGTAACATGTACTCATTACGTTATATTTACAATTTAAATAAAGATAATAAAAATTATATTAGTTAAATTTACAGACCAAATTACAGTGATTTTTATGTGTCATCTCTTTGTAAATCTATTGTTAGTATATGTTTAATTTATTGAAGATACTTATAAGTTATAATTCCATTAAATTATTTTCAACATCTCATCTATAATATAATAATAATAGTTATCATCCTGTATAGCTTTGAAATAGTTAAAGATGGGATGTTATAATGTTTCGTAAATTTAAAATAATTGTAATTAATTTAAATATTAATATTTTTTAATGGTTTTTTAAATCATATTAAAACTGATTGAAATTTAAATATTATAATAAATTATTGAAAAGAATTTTTCAGATCAACTGCTATTGCTTCAATATATAATTTCGAACATCTAGATTTATAAATGATGGTTCATCAAAATTAAAAAGGAAACAATTTTGATAAGTTATGTTAAATATAGTTTTATAAAGATATTCATTTAATTCCATAAGCAGATATAACTTGTTACGTTTCAAATTATTATATTATATATATTTAAATGAATTAATCCTTCTAATAAATATTATTGTTAAATTATTAAAAATATAAATACATATTAGAAATTGTTTTATAAAATTTGTATCTATTTACTAATGATAATACTCATGGACTTTATAATCATTTATTCTAGATTAGTTTGTGAAGTTACATATACACCAGTTACCTTAGGTGGACAACCTTTATCATTTAGAAAATTTTTTAAATTTCAAGTTGATAAACCATTAGATGTTAAAACAAAATTTTATAATGCAGAGAATGATGAACTATATCTTGAGGCACAAATTCAAAACTTAACAGATAGCCCTATTTGTTTAGAGAAAGTAGCTCTAGAATCTTCACATTTATTTACTGGTAAAACTTTTTGTAATAAAAATGTATACATTATAAACTATTTTTTATTATTTCTTTTAAGTTTCAACACTCAGTTCAAACGAATTTAATGAGTCAATATATGGAAGAGTGAATTTATTAGATCCTGGTAATAGTCGTCAATATCTTTATTATTTAAAACCACAATTAAGTTTAACCAATGATCCTAAAATTATGCAAAATGTAACAAATATTGGAAAATTAGATATTGTTTGGAGAAGTAATTTGGGAGAAAGAGGACGTCTTCAAACTAGCCAATTACAAAGATTGGTAATGTAATGTTCTAGATTATTAACATTTATTAAAAATGAATATTAAAACGAATTTTTTTCAGACACCAGATTATGGGGATCTTAGAGTTATTACAAAAGAAATTCCTAGTAAAATTTATCTTGAAGAACCAGTCAATTTTAAAATTCATATAATGAATACATCGTGAGTTAATTTTTATAAAATAGAATAAAAAATTATTATTTCATATGATAAATATTTATGTATAGGGAATACTATTAAGTTTACAATCAAATACAGCACTAGCATGGAATGGGATATCAGATAAAATTATTGGTAGCCTTAAACCAGGAGAATTTTATCTCATTTCCCTTTGTTTAGTCCCATTGGAATCTGGTCTTGTTGCAAGTATTCTTTCATAAATTTCATAAATTTAAGATGTACAATTAAAACACTACTTAATGTAATCACAAAATCTTTATAGGCTATTTCAGGATTGAAATTAACAGATACATTTCTAAAAAAAGTTTATGAATATGATGATCTAGCATTAATTTTCGTTAATCATAAAAATTAATAATTTTTATATTTAAATAAAAAAATAAAATAGTATTTAAGTATTGTTTCATTTAAACTAATGAATTACCATATAACAATTAATACTGATTATATAATCCTTTTAATACAAGAATCATTAAAATTGTTTAAGGTTTATATTTATTTATAACTGTTTTATATAATCATTGTGGAATTTATTTTAAATATTTTAATATCATTGTTCCTAATATTATTTTTTTTAATTTTTATAAATCAAGACTAGAATTCTAAGTAATTTTAAGCTACATTTTTTAAAAATAAAAAAACTTGATTTTCTCTGGTAAAATAAATGGAAATTAATTAAAATTTATTGTGAATACATTATTTTTATTTAATTTTTAATTTCCAGCTTACTTTATAAATGTAACTATTAATATAGTTTCTGTACATTATTTAATTTCATTAAATATAAATACATTGATCTATAATAACATTGGTTAGAATGTATTAGAATGTAATGTATAACTGGTTGTTATAAATTGATACTGCTCTACCAATATTTAAAGCTTTATTTTTTTTTTTATTGATTTGATTATTGTTCGTAATGTAAAGATTTCAAAATCTTTTAAACAAAGAGAAATTAACATTGGTCTGTCAATATTAATTTGTTCTGCAATATATCTTGATGCTGCATGAATTTCAGGATCATCTTTCCCAAAAATCACTCTAAAATAGAAAATGTGCATAAAATGATCAATTACCTTAAATTAATAAATTAATTCGTCGCATACTTTGTTTCATATACGTGACTGTTTAATTCATGAATATTAGATTCTTTATAAACTGATACCAGTGATCCTAGTTTTCTGTATTGACTAATTATTAAAAATAAACGATTGCTAAAATAAAAATAATTTTTTAGGTTAGGCTCTTTTTATATATAATTATCAAATAAGTTTATTAAGAATTGTAATTATAAATTCTTCTAATATTGTACGATATACCAACTTGTAAGTATTTAAGATAACATCTGTACGATTGTCATTAATAATAATAGAATAAGATTCGGTGGACATTGTAAACTACGCTAAATAATACATATATATATATATATGTGCAGAGAGAGAGAGAGAGAGAGAGAGAGAGAGAGAGAATATAATATCAAGTAGGACGAATGACGTGACGAGATTGTGAGAAGAGAGGGAACTTATGTATATACATATTCATATTTATATTAGTCGATCAGCTGCTCAATTATTTTCCTCAATTTAATACCTCTGATAAAAAGTGAGTAAAAGCAAACCAAAAATCGCAATCTGATATAAGAAAGTTGTCGACGCATACTAAGAAGTTGATAAGATTAATATACTTTCAGAATAAAGATGCGGAGTGTAGAAGCAAGTCCAACTCTTAGTTCCGTATTAAATTATCGCTTTTGCCAATATTCTAGATAAGCGTTACGGTATATATGAGCAAGAGAAAAGCAAGCAGGCGCGGGACTTGTTAGGCTCTTTAAATTAAGTTTGCCGTTGCCTCGTCTAGGCGTGTAATTCGCGGTCTCCGGTCTAATTTTTTTCTCCAATTTTTCAAAAATGCATTTACACTAGGGTAATAAGGTCTCCGCATAGGTGAACGCAAAACTATTGATTTTTCCAATGGAAAATCGTAAGTGAAATTTGTAGACTACCAATCCAGATCTCCTCGAGGGCAATTTCCGCCGTCCCGCTAAGGGACGCAAAGTCATTCGTACGCTCACGCATGCGAGAGTGAAGTCGTGTGTGTGTAGTCTCCCTGCGCTACGTGAGTAGTTTCTCTTTCCATTCTTGGTGGATGGCTTGAGGTCGCGCGAAAATCGATAAGCTGCTAGCGGTGTTAGAGATAACGCTAAGCCCCACATGCCAACCGTTTGTACCACTAGTTTCGGGCAAAGGAGCCTCTTCTCTTTTTTTTGGCCTTCCCCATCCCATCAATGCAATCAGAAAGCGCGAAATCGCGGCATTCGGCGTTCAAGCTTGCCACCGATACGAACGATCGTTGCTCAAGCTCATTACGTTGTACCTGATAAAGGATGTAGAGTGTATTCGGAGAGAGCGCGCCGCGAATTTAGAAAATATGCGCGAATTATTATTCGAAGTGACGACCGGAAGTGCGCAGAGGGCGCGCACCGAAGTCTCGCGAATGTAGTGTCACGTCGAATACATGCACGCGCGCGTTCTAGCAGGTCACTTACACGTATACGTCCGCACGCTGAGCCGCTGATAGGAGCTCAGAAAAGGGAGAGAGAGAGAGAGAGAGAGAGAGAGAGAGAGAGATCGTTGAGTAGTTGTATTGACTTGGTTATAAACATTTTAATAGCGCAGAAGGGGACCCTTTGTTATACGTATACGCGTAAGCGCATGCAAGTGTTGGAACCGACTGTGCGCCGCCGCTCTTATGCCTACGTATGCGTGGGCACGCGTCGCGAGTCTACACAATAAACAAGACAGTGTATAAACAAAACTTCGCTACCGTGGCAAGCGCAAGCTTTTTCGCCGCATTCCAGTCGATTTTTTTAATTCTCCTTCCTTATCTACACCTCCTCACTGAACATTATGAATAATAGTACTAAAGTGTAGAAAACCTAACTCTGCGCTTTCTTCTATCTGTCGCGCTTTCTCTACTCTCCTTCCCGTTGTTCTCAGAATTCAGAAGAACTTTCGTCGTAAACTCTAGCCACGATATATATCTACACTTCTGCAAGCATACGTGCATTCGCATGTACTTATGCCTATGTACGCGTGCTGTTTAGTAGTGTATTGTCTCTTAAGCTGTACTTAGTGCAGCCGCGGAAAATCGGACGCGCCGCGCGCGATACGCCGAATTGTGTGTTGCATTATTTCTCTCCTTCTGTCTTTCTTTCACTGTTTCTCTCTCTAACTTCTCACACTCCTGCGCTCGAATATCGTCGCGCGAATAATCTACATCCTGTATCGTCGTCGCTGTGTAGGATACATAACACTCTATGCACACACGCGCGCGCGCACGCACGCACACACACACACACACACATATATATATATATAAATATATATATATATATATATATATTATTTCACAGTTTCGCACTATATATGATAGTGTGCGCTTGCATGTAGTAAAAAAAGAGCGCTTTTCTCTATAAGCGCGTCCGGAAAAACTAAGTGTTTATTAGTAGGCGGTAGTGGAGGGAAGGGAAGAGAAGAGTACATCGGGCTTTTTTCGCGCCCGGCGGTAGTAGCGGCTGCGACTGATTCCTTTACAGTAGTAGAAGAGTGAGAAATTACAAAGGGTTCGGAGTGAACCGAGAAGCGCGTCGACCCTTGAGATTGAATAGAGACCAAGAGAGGCAGACAGACAGACTAAGAGAAAAAAAGAGCGCGCGCGCGTGACTGTGTGTGGGTGTGTGTGAGGGATAGAGCAAGAGAGAGAGAGAGAGAGAGAGAGAGAGAGAGACAAAGAAAGAGGGAGACAAGTGCGCCTTAATTCCGTATTTGCAAGGGCAGATCTTCGCTGGCGACAAAATGTCGTGCAACTACGCTGACGGTCTGTCGCCTTACGAAGACAAAGGCGTCTTAGGACTGGAGGAGGTAAGAATGCATGTTCTTATTTTATTTTTTTTTTCATATTTAATTTTGTTGTTACATATATTTTTTTACTAATACAGTAGCGTGCTCTCGAAATTTGTTATTTAATAAATATCAGGCTTGTAATTTTTATGATAGCTTTTTATTCTATTTACATTATGATATTCAAATTTTTAATTTGATTAATTTTATTAGTTATTGTTCTGTTTGATTTAAAAATGAACGGTTGTCACCCGATAATTTTTTTCGTAAAATAAACGAGTAATTTTAATTTTTATAACCAATGGAAATAAGCACTATACAATAAGCTTGTATATGAAATACTAATAAATTGACATTTAACTATTTTTTTAAATTTTAATCTAATAGTTTTAAAAGTTAAATCATATTTTTGTCTCCACTATTAATTTCTTACAATAATTATATACAATTTTTTTTTAATTCTTTCCAATTTCTATTATTTAAATAATAAAGTTTTCCAATGTGAAAAAACTTATTTATTAAATCTTACACAAGAAAATAATATTTCAATTATAGAAATTTGATACCGATGAGACACTCAGACTGAAGTGTGAGCTACTAGCTGACTGGATTAAAGGAGCACGGCATGTAGTTGTTCATACAGGTGCAGGAATTAGCACTGCTGCTGGAATTCCAGATTTTCGGTATTTATAAGTCTTTTATTGTTGATATCTTTTTTTTTATATCACATAAATTTATATTTTAAAGTGGTCCAAATGGAGTATGGACTTTGGAACAAAAGGGTTTGAAACCCTCTTCAAGTGAATCATTTGATGAAGCAATACCTACAAAAACACACATGGCTTTAAAGAAACTTATTGATGCAAGTAAGAAATAATTGTCTTTTCTATTTTTTTTATGAATTGAATATAGCCTAATGAAATCTAAATTTTTATGAATTAATTTAAAAATTATTGATATAATTATTTAAATAATATACTTTTATTATTACTTTTTACGTAATAGCAATAAAATAATTAAAAATACAAGTAAATAATATATTTATCTTTATGATTTAATTATTTATAAATAATAATAGCAATTTAACATTATAGTATTATATATTCGTTAGTTAGTATTTTTGAAGGGTTAGAAAAAATTTTGAGCAAAACATTTTAATTTAACATTTTTTAAAGTTAAACTTATTAATTGCGACTGAAGTAATAATCATTTAAAATATATATACAAGTTATACCTAAAATATTTAGTAGTTATTATTATTTCAAAATGTTTTATCTAGTAAAAACACTATTTATAATTTATAGATATTTTTATAATTTTATAATATAAGTGTTCAACTTTTTTTCAGATAAAGTTAAATTTATTATAAGTCAAAATATTGATGGATTACATCTTCGCTCAGGAGTTTCAAGACAATATTTAGCAGAATTACATGGAAATATGTTTGTTGAACAATGTGATAAATGTGGAAGGTATTTAAATAACTATTCACTTTTAAATTATATTTTATATCTTTTTTTAAATCGATTTTATTATTCTATGTCTAATTTTTATAGACAGTTTATTCGAAACTTTGCAACTAAAAGTGTTGGAAAAAAATGTTTGGAAACTGTGTGCCGATCAGAACAAATTGGTGGTAGACCTTGCAGAGGAAAAATGCATGACACAATTTTGGATTGGGAACATAATTTACCTGATAATGATCTTGCATTATCCGATCTTCATTCAAGGTCAGTTTTCTTTATAAATGTTTTAATATCAATATATATTATTTTATTTGTTATTTTATAAAACTTAAATTTTTTTATAAAAATAAATTTTACATAACTGCTATTAGAAAAAACAACGTAGTTTAATTATTAGTTAGAATTTATTCTGATTTTATAAATATAGAAATTAATATATTATATAAATTCAACCCATCGCCATTCATATTAAGCAGGAGTAAACGTACGTAGATTGCTATAACAATTAGTTTTATAATACATATTTAACTACATGAATTATAGTTACAATATCAAATGATTTTAAGAATTATACCATTAATATATTGTAACTTTAATTAAATGATTACAGTGTTGCTGATTTAAGCGTATGTTTGGGAACAACACTACAAATTATACCAAGTGGAAATTTGCCTCTTTACACAAAAAAGTATGGTGGACGTCTAGTTATATGCAATTTACAACCAACTAAACACGTAAGTTATTAGACATTTTAATACTATACTTTATATTTTATTTATATTAACAATCTAATTTATTCTGTAGGATAAAAAAGCAGATTTAATTATTAATGGCAAACTCGATGATGTTATTGAAATGGTAATGAAAAATTTGGGTCTGGAAATTCCAGAGTATGAAAGTTCTTCAGATCCAACAAGAAATACTGATATAAATTCACGTGAAATGGACTGGACGATACCAACAAGTAGAATCAAAGAAATGAAAATATTGTATAAAAAAGTTTGTACACCAGTCAAACGAAAGCGTCGAGCGACATTTATGTATGAACGTGAAATAACAAAATACACGCCTAAGCGTAAAGATAAAAAACAAGACTTTACAGTTAAAAAGGAAGAAATTGATAACGGTTCTTCCTTAAGCAACTTCAACATCGAAGAGAACAACGCAAATAAAGAAACAGTAACGAAATTAGAGCCATCGAATGATGACTCTAATGAGGCTACAACGTGCATAGACGTACCAGCTGAGGATAACAACGTTACGTAGTGAAATATATAAAGAAAAAAAAATGATATATGATTATTACATTATATTTCTTAAACGCAACAAATTAGTTTATATGTGCGTAATATGTCGTTGTAATCGTGCACAAAAAATTTTAAGCGTAAAAAAGGATGTAAATGTTTATTCGAAAAAGATAATGCGATTAATGACTATGCTTTTAATTAAAATTATATTAAAAAATTATTTTTATCTTTTATTCGCTTTCCAAAGAAGTTGATAATAAAATTACTTCTGCCAGCTCGTGGGATATTGATGCGTTTCTATGGAAACCAAACTGTTATTTTTTTATTTCTTAAGTGATTAAACATAAGTGAACAGTTTTATCCTATTTAGTAGGAAATAATTGTAAACATAAAAATGTCAGTAGAAGATTTTAATCATTGTTCCAAATTAAAAACTCCTATTGTATATCACAAAACAACTGTGAAATTGGATTATGATTCAGATAGTTCAGCCAAATGGAATTCAGAAACACAAGGAATTTTTGTATCACCTAAAGTTGAAAATCAAAAAATTGGTAACGGTTTAAAAATCCTTCTGCATGTATAATATATTCTGATAATTGATAACATGATTATGTCAGGAAAAAGAAGAGAATTGTTAATGAAATATTTTAGATTATGTGCTTCTAAAGATGCTTTAGAAGAAATAATAGGTGATCCTCCTTTATCTGAATCATCTTTCTTAACTGAATACTTTGACAATTATTGTGACGGCGACTTTACTCCTTTAATAGAAAATTCTGAATTTGATATAAAGGTAAATTATTTATAATTAAAAGAAAAATTTTGTTCATAAACCTAATAACTATTTTTAATTAGAAAATTATGCAAAATCCTTTATACGATGGAAACGTTCAAACATATTACAAAGAACAATTTGATAAAGGAAATTTAAAAGCCACGACCGAATTACGAAATAAAAATCGACCTTTTGTCAAGAGATCTCTTTTTACAACACCACCTGAACTTGCATTTGAAGAACCTGTGGATGGATTTTAAATCAATATTTTACTTTTATTTAGTATATTTATTATCAAATGAAATAAGATATACAAAGAAGGTATATACATACGCACATAGAATCTTAAATATATCGCATAAGTAATTCTTTGAGACATTTTTTTTTTCTTGAACAGTTCATAATATCTAAACATTCTTCTAATTTTTAGATAAAAATCTAGTACGATTTTCAAATACGTTTGTTACAGTTTGTTTTAAATTTCTAATTTAAACGTACTCATCTAATAATTCTAATACTTTATTGAATATCAGAAGAAAATTATACAAAGACTTTTTATCAGTCTTAAAAGGAAGATTGAATAGGAAATTAAGGAGTAAATATTCACGCTCGAAGAGAAACAAACTGATGAAACACATCTAAAATGTGTGGATCCAAATCTGGAGTAAAAAGTAATGTTTCTAATGTTGAAGAATATTTCTGAACTTGTTCATGATGCTGCAAAAATAAATATTTATGTATACGCGTATATTTATATATACACATGCAAATAAATATATATACATATACATATATATACACATATACATATACGTATATATACACATATGCATATACGTATATATACACACATATATGCACCTGCATATATTTTTTTAAAAAGAACACATAAATGTTTATTTCTGCTTACTGTAAGGAATACTTGTTGAAGTCTTCCAATTGTCCATTTATACCAATGTGTGTTGTAGTCAATGCCATCTGTATCGCATCTTGCCAAATGTTCAGAAAGAATCATTATAAAGCGCTAAATAAAAATATTAATAAAGTAGTCTTTATGAATTCTTTCAGATTTTTGTATATATATATAAAAAAAAAAAAAAAAAAAAAAAAAAAAAAAAAAAAAATATGATTCATACTTGAAAAATAATTAAAAACAAATTTTTTTGATCGCCTTGAGCTGCTTCCAATTTTTCCTCCATTCTTTCCACTATGTCTTCTGATGGTCTTTCGCCTTTGTCTTTGTCTTCATCATCTGACGATGAACCCGATCTGCTTTCTGCACGTCGTAATTTCTCTCTCGCTTCGGTTAATTCTTTACTTAATTTAATGACATGTTTATTTTTTTTACGAATAGTAAGGTGTAAAATTTCCCAAATATAAAGCCTTTAAAATGATTAAATTAATAAAATTCTGTCTTTATATATTTATGATTTTATTAATGAAATACTAACTTTGTAAATTCAGAAGCCATTTCTTTTGAGAATATCCAATTAGCAATAGCACTGCATTCTATAATTCCAGTTTTCAAAAATTTATCAGTTAATACAACCATCATTTGAAAATGATTTTTCCATAAGGCATACATATTTCTTAAAATACAAATTTGTGCTTCCTCAGTTTCAGCAAGAACCTGAATAAAACGAAAAATTTAAGTGAAACTACCTACAAAAAAGGATAAAAAATAAATAATTTGATAGAAAATTGTACTTTAAAAACATAATGAAATTTTCCAATAGCTGCAAAACTATGACTAAAACTTTTTGAACCTAAATTTAATAAAGTTTGTACAAATACATCAATTTTCAAAGGATTAAACGAATAGTTTTCTTCATTTTCTCCTGGCCCTGGTAAAGTATTTAAAACATTTAATGCCTCTTCTGGAGTGCATTTACGTCTAATTGACATAACAAGTTCATGCGCTACTGATGTACCGGCAAGTGAACCTAAATCATAAAATTTTGTTATGAAAAAAAATTTAATGTATAGTTAAAAAATTGTTTAAAAATATCACAAACTAGCTCCTTCAGATGAATATTTATAAATAGGTTCAGGTGTAATGGGTATTAATTCCATATATGTTTGAGGCATCATATCTCGGATTCTATTGTAGTATGATAATCTAAAAATATAAAAAAATCGCTTTTAATTTGTTTTAAATATTTGTTTAGAATTATAAAAATAAATTAATATCAATATTTTGTCTAACTTTTTATTGTATTACCACTATTTCTTCTAAGACAAATTTCATTTAACTTTATTTCAATATTCTATAATCACCTTAATGACTTTAATAAGACTTCACGAATGAATTTTGGTCGTGGATGTTCAGCATCACGCTGTAAACAGGAATCCCAATCTTCCCAAGACCATCTGAATTGAAAATTGCTTAAATGATAAGAAAACCACCAAACAAACCGATCAAATGCAGTTGCTGCCATACTATCTATACGGCGGAATAATATTTCTGTTGCTTGAGCTAATACCTAAAAGAATAAAAGGTCAAATTTTAGAATGTAATATATAGATATATATTCTAATATGAAATATTGAGGATGTTAATGTTAATTACTTGGGGCATTGTTGATGGTTGTAATTTGCAAAGCTCAATAAGAATTGATCCATAACAAATTTCCAAATGCTTTGGGGTTGGAAGTTTAAATAATTCACCAAACATTACTTCAACTACACAATAATCTAAAGGAATTTTAGTTTTATAGGGAAAATTTAAGAGCTGGGCTGCACTGTAAAAAAAATCTTCAATATAATTTTAAATAATACAATTTATGTAAAGCAAATTAATAGTTGAAAAAATTGAAACATTAATTTAATAATAAATTTTTCCAGAATAACATAATGAATTCTAATATCATAAAAATCATAGATTACTTTATTTCACTGTATAGTATTAATCATTAATAGATTTTAATTAAACTACTTTCTTAACTTCAAAGCAACTGATCACAAAAATAGTTATATAAATAAACTATAGATTCACAAATAACAATTAACTACTGAATAAATAATAGATTGTAATACTTGTAATAAGAGTGTAATAAGAGCAAATAAAAGTAGTATTGAAATAAATATTTTTCTGAAACATTGTAATTAATAATTTGATAAATATTAAGAAAAAAAAGTAAATAAAATTATTTAGAATTATAAATGAAATATATAATTAAATCATTGTGTTCAATCTTTTTTTATACGATCTTGTTAAATTATTAAACTATTGTAGGTATATAATTTTATAACATACCAATCTTTTCTTTCTTGGTAAAATGTATCTATAATTTGACGTAAATGTTCTTCCATCAGATATCTTTCAATAGCATGACTTCCTGGCAATGCTGGACCTTCTGCTGGGCAATCTGTGTAATCAAACATTCTAAAAACCACTGTTGGCAGTGGATAAATATATGTATCATGATGTGGTGGCGGTATTAATACAGGTAAATTATGTTGAAGAGCTTCACACAATATGGAATCAAAAGCTAGATAAGGTCTTGGAATATGTTTTTCTGCCCAATTATCTTGTCTTAATTTACGTACTTGAGCCCAAAGACAGTCTAAATATTCTTCTTGTGGATGCGGCGCATCACTAAACCAAACTCTCAGTGCTGGCTGATGTTTTTTATTACGTTTATTTAAAAATACTTCAATTGTTACCATAAGATGATCAAGCTCTTGTTCTTTTTTTTCATAAAGTTCCCTTCCAACCCATGGTAACGTCGATAAAACAGCATAAACATACCAATCACGTCTTACTTGTGGTACACTATCTTCGTTAGCTGCATCAAGCATACTATCAAATAACTGCATTAATGAACCACATGATAAAACATGACAATTAACTAAGTCTGCTAAAAATCTTAAGGAATATCTAGCTACATCCCATTTGCCTGCTTTTAACGCATCTTTGAAATTTTTAACCATGTAGTCAACAAATTCTCCGCCAAAATTAAAATTTTTAGCGTTTAATAAACCAACTAAAGTTGTATAGATTGTACATTTCTCGGGCATTTTAATGGCACAATCTGTTAATATTCGTAAAATCTTACTTCTAAATAATCCTAAATCGGCTTCTAAAACAGAAGCTAATCCTTCTAAATTACTCTCTAATGATGAAGTAGATTTTTCTCCAACTCGTAAAATAAGAGATTCCAGTCGATCTTCAATCTCTTGATTTTCTGAAACTCGTCTTCGCTTCTTATAAACTCTATCTGAAATTTATTAAATTGAATTTACTTAGTAATATAAATAACAATATAAATTATAAACATTTTAGTAATTCTCAATACTAACCGTATCCATCATCATCATCATGCGCTCTCCTTCGACTCATTTTTATTAAAATCAACTAAAATTATCAAGAAGATTGTTCATCAATTCAGATGCAATTTGTTTTTTTAATTTTTATTGTTTTCTAAAAACAAATTCAAGTAAGAATATTGTATCAATTTTGAGAATTAAAATAAATGACAATGAAGGCGTCGTCATGACCGTGTGGCATCTATTTACGTCAATTCTCATCAACACGACACGAAAACTCATGTAAACAGAGTTTTAGTTATAAAACATTTTTTTTAAGCACAGCTTTCAAATTTTGATTTCATTCTGTTAAAGAAAGATTTAGCTTATTGCATGAACGCGCCCGCACAAACGCACACACGCACGCACACAACACGTATATATATTTATTTATTTATTATGCAGCATTATCTTCTAAACGAACTTATTTTATTGAAAAATAATAATTTAATCAATCATATGTATCTTGATAGTAAATATAATTAATAAAAAAGTATAATTTAGTTAATTTGAATTGAAATGTTTTGTATTCTTATATAATATTAAATACCGTTGAATGTTTTGAATTATAGTTCAGATTTGAAATATTTTTGCACCTAAATATTTACTTAAATCTTGAGATATAAACACCATTCGAAAACATGGATTCTTTAATAGCGTTTATTATTAAATTTTGTACTAATTAGAAAACCAAAACTAACATAATTTCAGATATATTAGTTTTAATAATATATTTTATATTTCCATCAATTATATTATAGGTCATTAATTCTAGTAATTATTGTTCGTATTTTATATTATTGCATTATTTATAGTATATACACTTGTACTTGGAATATTTTTTCAGCACAAATGCTACAAGATTTTGAATTCCTCATTATATATTTATTATATGGTAATTATATGTGACATTTATCAGAAAAACCAATTTATTTTAGTTTTTAATATTTATTAAATACTGAATTATACTAATTAATATATAAATAATGTTTTTACACTAGTATTAATGATGTTTTTAACTGGTTTTATAACGGTAGCAATGAATTCTTATTACTGAACTTCACTGAGTCACAAAATAAGAATATTATTAACACGATTAATGTAAAGTATAATTATCGTATTATAATTTTATACAAGGATATTAATATATTTTTATTTTTACAATTTAGTATTCAATTAAAATTTTGAGTACTTAAATTCCGTAATATACAAATTGCAGATTAAACTTAACTTTTAGTTCATAATGATGACAACAATAGTTTGTAATTAGAATTTGTAATGATAAGACTATTAGTATTATTATTATTATTTTTATTCAAAATTATAATAATGATTGTGTGCATACATATGTATTAAAATATATTTTCATTAAACAGTAATTAAAGCCAAAATTTAGACTAGTTATTTTGATCTCGTCAGTAGAGCGTCATATAATTGATATATTTTCTTCTTTTAGAAATATTATAAAATTGATTTTTATTTAATGTAATATATAAAATTGTTTATCAATATATTATATTATTTATTTATTTATAAATTATTGACCAAAGTAATTTATGTATAGATATTTATAATTTGTTTACAAATTTATACTTCTAGTTAACCTATATTAATATCACTTACATAATGCCAGTTATGCAATACGTATTGTCTTCAAAAGTTTTATAAACATATTAAATTATAATTATTTTATTTATACAAATATATATAAAAAAATAATATTAATTCACATATAAATCAAGGATAAGTATTTTTGCCTTGCAGTATTATTTTGACATGGACCAAATAAAAAATGTAATTAGTCTATAATTAAATTTCATAATATAGTTCAATTAAATAAATTAACATATTTATTTTTAACGTTAGTTTAAAAATTTTCTTCATCTTTACAATCAAATCTCAGATACATGTTTTACACGTTGTACTAATACGTTCAATTCAAGAGAAATAGAATTTGATGAGGTATATATTCAATATATATATTTATATATATATATATTTAATTACTATATTATAAACATTTTTATTTCAGAATAATTGCGTTAATAATTGTACACAAAAGTTTATCAATATTAATCATAGAGTAATGGAAATATATTTGGAAGTACAACCAATAATAGTACAAAAAAGAATGGAAGAAATAAATATTACCCAACATAACATGGAAGGAAAAAGTTAAAATTGATTAATTATTTTAATATTTGACTTGTCACATTAATATTATGTATATAAGTTTATATATATATATACTTTATAAATAAAACTAAAAATATACGTATTAATATCTACTTTATTATTAACTTATTTTATAAGATATTTGTATAATGCAAATTATACAAATTTATAATTTTTTATACAATATATGTTGCTGTTATACATATATATATATATATATTCTATTAGAATCTCCATGGTGTTCCTCCATATATAGTATAGCGATGATTAAGATAGAGATAAGAATACAAATCTGTGAAGGAAAAAACTTCTTTACAATCCTCTCTACGATATTTATCAACTAATGTTTTATAAATTGGCTCTCCATAATAAGTACCAACTACCCAATTTGGTACATTTTTCATTACTTCTCTTTCAAAATCTCGATTTTTTCTTATCTGTTTTAAGTATCTGTGTACATTATAACATAAACATTATAAGAAAACATCATTTTTATATTTTAACCTAGTGAATAAATATATCACTTACGCTCTGTCTCTTTCAGCTACTAACGTTGCAAATAACACATTCCTAGCACCATTAATTTCAGCAAGAGTACGAAACTTAAATCTATAACTGTAATAATATCCTACACAGCCAACTCCCCAAACAAAAAAAGCTAATGCTACAGAGCGTTTAACTGAAAAAATTAATTTTATATGCTTTAATTCTCAGTGAACAAATATATAATAATTATATAATACAGAATAATTATTTATATATAATGATTTTACCAGTAAAAAATTTTTTAAGAAATATACGTTCGTAAGTTATTGAAGAATAACCACCTGCTGGTGGCATATCTTGTGGTGTAGTTTTAACATTTGCCATAGCTATTCGAATATTCTAATCATTTATCAATTTATTAAAATAAAATTCCAGAATAAAAGTATAATTTGGCAATCCAATACTTGCAAAGCATATCATAAACTTTAAAACTGACTTAGATTAAGGATGGATTTAGACATGGACTGTGCACAAATAACATGTAGTAATCCCGCGAATTTTTAAATACATCAATCATAAATGTAAAATAACTGTGTTCTAAATTAAAATTTTACTTTAATAAATCCTTTAGAATAATAAGCTTGAAATAAATATTATGTCCATGCAATATATATTAGAAATTATTATTTTATAAATTCTTAACAACACCAAATTATAAAATCAAAATCCAAATGGCAAATACTATTGTAATATTGTTTTTTCATCTACTATATCCCAAGTAGTAGGTTAAAAATATTTTTCATTTTATTCCATCTATATATTCCATCCAATTATAAATATGTTTAAATTTTAAATATTGTAGACAGACAGGTATTTATTTATTTTTATTTTATAAAGTTTGTACTATATACTTAACTCTATATTGATATTTTCTACTTTTAATTTACACTTATTCGATTGGCGATTTTTAATAAAATTTATATAAGCTGTACAATATTTGTTAAGGCATTATTATATTTAGCTATACTAATATTTGCTAAAATTCTTATAATATTTTTTCCACTGAGCATTATTTTGTAAATGAAGGTCCAAACACTTGAATTAATGGATTTTATTCTGTTTTACAAGTAACGGTAATCGAAAAGTCCACTATTATTCAATATTGGATTAAATTGATTTCATTAAAGTTGTCTACTTAAATATTCACTTGTTGTTATAATTATTATTATTAGCAGCTTTCGTTGTTTAATATAAAGTATTCGGAAAATAGATGATGCGAGTATTTTCTATAATCTATATTTTCAATTTTCTTTTTAAAAGTATAATGTTTCTTATACAACTTTTTCTTTATTAAACTGTAATTCTTAATGCCCAAGATTGTAGAGTAATTATTTTTCTTGGAATTATAAATATATTTATCTACAGAAAAAAATATCATGCTACTAGATAATATAATAATCTTCGCAATCTATATAAAGGTCGAATATAAACTATTAAATATTATAAATTAACATACATCTAGACAATGACAATTGAGTGCATACATTCCAAGAGTTTATCTCGTAAACAACATTTTATTTTCATTTTGATAATTAAGTATTAAATTAGTTACTATCTACACGTTTTAGGGTAGGAGCTATCAAGCAATAAAATTTGTATTCAACATTTGTCAATTTAAATTTTGAAATCAATTTTGCATTATTTTTAAAATTGTATCATTTATTAGTTTTTGAAAATGTTATTTAACGAACTTCTAAAAATAATTTTTTCTTTTTAATGAATAATTTAATAATTAAGTGTTAAAGGATTTAGCACAATATAAGATGGAATTCTATACTATACAAAAATTTCTTTCTCTCGAAATTTAGTTACGATAATAATAAATATAAAATTAAATATTTAATTTTGTTATTAATAAATGATGTTTCAATCGTATTCTTGTTAAATCATTATTGCATGAAGAATATCGAAGGTGTATTCATATTTATTTATTGCAACATAACCTTAAAAACTTGTTATTTGTTTTAGTTTATTTCAGATTATTAATAGTTTATTCTGTTTTATTAAGTAAAAAAAAAATATGAATAAACTATTAATTTTTGTTAAAAAAATGTACCTATATAAAGAAAAAAATCTTTTTAATCTTTTCACACAAATATGCTAAATATATTTGAAAACTTAAAAAATAAATAACCTCTCGAACTAGTTATTAAAATATGATAGCTTGTTTTAATCTTTTTAAATATGCTCGACGACGGTTAATATTTGGTCTTCTTTTTGCCTTTTTATTTGTTTACTGCATATTTTCTTTATTGCACTTTGAGGTTTGTGTTTTAGAATTATTTAAAAATATCCTATGGTGTATCTGCAAAAATATCATTTAATCAACAGAAAGGGCTGATCTTCGGAAATGACTTTGATGATATAGATAATATAAATCTTGGTGACAATAGTAATGAGATATTGAATAGCGAAGAAGAAGATGGAGAGCTAATTAAATCTTCTGATAAATCTTTATTATGGCACATGGAAGTATTGAATGATGGTGGAAATACAAAATCAGTAGAACTTGTAAATGTTGAAAAGTATGTTAATAATGAAACATCTTTAAGACAGTGTCGAAATTCAATTCAGGTAAATATTTCTTTTTCAGCCATTAAAATTATAAATATTTGAATAAAAAGTATTTCTATGTTTATTATAGGATAAATTTTTAATTGTCGATGAAAAAGGTTATGTATGTAGTCGGTATGAACTTTCTAATGGTTGCTGCAACGCTCAAATATTAGAAAATACCAGTTCTTATTCAGTGCCCTTAATAAGAAATAGATATACTTGTAAAACATGTAATCCCCAAGGTTGCTGTACAATTTTTGAATATTGTGTATCATGTTGTCTTGATCCAAAAAAGGTACTCATAATGTGTATAAAAAGTCATTAAACACAATCTTGTTATTATAGTAATTTGAATTTTTTATTAGCGTAGAATGATAATGTATAAAATAATTGTAGATTAAGAAGAAAAAAGGTTTAAATTTTAACCAACTTTATAAAAATAAATTAAAATTAAAGCAAGGTGAAGACATCTTGAAGCTACGTCTAAGAAGTCTTGATCGTTTTCAGTTATGTTTAGCAGCTTGTCGTACTTCTAGTTTAAGCGTCCATGAAAATACATACAAAAACCCATATTATAAATATTGTTATATTCTTCAACTATCCAGTAATAATTTCATACAAAGACAAAAAAATCTTGATATAATTTAACAATAAAATGAAGCTGAAAATTTCCCTTATAGTTTGTACCATATGAGTACATAAATTATAGCTCTTTATTATTTATATTGTTATTAATAATTTTAGTTTTTGAGTTCACCAAAATTAATTATGTAGCCAGTAAACTTTATAGCGATGATCGGATACCTCTTATTAGGATCGATTTGAATTTCCAAATATCTTTATATTTTATATCAGCATTATAATTAAAGCGTTGTTTTACTATATTCGTTACTTCATCACTGATATTTTGCTGAATAGTTTTTTCAACCTGTAAATAAATAAATTTCTTATTTTTATTTATCTTCTAAATCTTACATTATTTATTAAGTATAAATTAATTTATCTGTAAAGTAACATTAGGAAAATTAATATTGTATTTAATTTTGATCTTTTTTAATATATAATTTTAAAACGTTAGGTTTTAACAATCAAATACTAGAGAATGATTTGCTTTATCTTACATCTATATAATAACAATCTGCATCAGCATAATGACAAGAAATTGCCTTTCTTGTGTGATTAGAAGTATTTGTCCCAGAACCATGAACCAATAATGGATGAAAGAATAAGGTATCACCAGGTTCCATTTCAACATCAATCCATGATATTGGTTTAGAAAAATTCTGTGAAAATAATAATTAAAAAAAACTTAAATAGAAAATTAAAAGAAAATAATATACAGAAATTTATATTACAAGAATAATTAGGAACATAACTGTTTAAAGAAAAAAAGTAGCCAAATAATTTTTACCAAATCTCCTTAATGAGAATATTTATACTGTTTAATCAATGTATAAACACAATCATAGAATGATCTTGTATATATTATATTACACGTTTAATAAACATTTTATTTTGGAGAATATTTATAATATAGACTATGTTCTTTAATCAAGTTATACGTCATCATAGTATAATGTCCAATATATTAGTTAAAATTATATAATTTCAAAATATAAATAGAATATACATGAAAAGCCATTTTACGACTACTTTAATTTTCATATTAATTACGACAGCTATATCATTTAAGTATTTAAAATATTAAAGAATGAGATATAAAATGACATTTGTCCTGGATTCGTTTAAGTATATAGTAATAAGAAATTTTAGAATAATGAAAGGAAAGCAAAAATATGCGAAAAAAATTATTGTGTTTTAAATTTAAATAGGTATCATAAATAGTTTTTTGTGATAAAAACCGTATTTATGAAAGACTAACAGCACTTTCAAATTTAATATATAAATTAAGAAAGGTACAGAATAAAAGAAATATTTTGTCCGATGATCTTGATTGGACCGTCAAGAATGGATGATATTGAATTGTATGGTAATTCGGGCTCTGACATTTTTGGTTTAGTTTAAATATAAGATTGTAGGTAATTTTATTGGTAATTTAATATATTCGATAATACTGTGCTATAAAAACAGGCCATTCATTTATTATATTTAAAAATATAATACAAATATAAAATAAAATATAATGAAGACGATTTTTGTTAATGATTTAAAATGTTATTTGATAAGTTTGTAATATAGTATATTTGAAGAATATATTGCGAAAGGAATATAATGAGTTATACATGTAATAATTATAAAGGATTATGAGTAATATATATTATAATTATATAAAGATAATTAGTCACGTTCTAGCACTTTCTGTTTGAATATGAATATAAATCTGGATTTATTTTATAAAATACAGCTCTGATTAAACCGTTAATTCAGCTTTTTAAACGCGTTTTTTCTACCTATTGTCGAAAGAAAATTTAGCAACTGCTACTTATACAAATGTTTTTACCGGTACATTTCTAGTAAAATTTCTATTGTCAAATAGTTTACAACAAAATTCTCGCATGTTCTTTTATTTTTTCCCCAAAAATTGACATGGCAATGGCATTTGATGCTATTTTTGGCATACGCATAGTTTTTTTATTTACTTTATTCAGTAGCTATACAGTGAACAAGCAGCGATCACGACTTTGATTTGATCCTTTATTATATAGAAGGTAACAATTAACAATTCCATCAAAGATTACTTCATACGAAGCTACTACATTATCATTAAAAATTAATCATTTAATCAGCATGACATAAGATTTCAATACCATGCAATCTGATGAGTTTTGAACCAATCTTATATCCAGTAATTGTAGATGAGGAATATTCACGTCCTACTGTATCGGTATTATTAATCGACCCAACCAAATTAGAGTCGAACAAAAGGAAAATAGATAAAGAGTGGCAATTAAGAATGGGTACGCGGGATTATGGAGACTATTTAATAGGCGAATGAGTCATACAGTATTTGTGTATGTAGGTGCGTGCACAAATCTTCATGAGGATGAGCATGTCGTTTGGATCAGCATAAGCCATTTTACATACATCTATGTTTTGTACTTTACATATTTCAAGTTTGATGCTTCTAATTTATAAATAATTATATAAAAAAAATTTTGTTATAAATATAATATAAATATCTCTTCTATTTTCGAAAATGATATTGGCTTGTATTAGAAACACTGACTATGTCATTAAAAAATAGTTACATTCGATATTAAATAATTAATTTTTATTACAGTTTATCAGTACCTGAATTTCATAATACATTTTGTTTACTAGGTTTTTAGTATAACTATGCTTCATTAAATTGTAACGATGCGATCCTGCATAAACATAAAGACATCCATTTTGTTTGTTACACTTTTCTATAGCTGTCCATGAGGCAACTATTTTATATGCTGGTCGAAAGGGAAAATAAAATAAATCTTGATGTGGCGGATGCCTAAAATAGAAAATTGCTTTAATAATTAATAATACATAATATAAAATATGAATTTTTATAAAACATTATAAAATTATTTATGCAAAATTATTTCCTAATTGTTATTTAATTTTAATTGTAGTCAAATTATAATCTCTATTACTCATACGAAACAAGTACAGTTATATTAGGAAATACTATGTGTCAAGCCCAATAATATCAATAAATGCACTAATTAGATGAGTCCATATTCTGTTTTATTGTTTAATAAACAGAAAGCTATCAATTTTAAACTTTAAAACAGAAGTTTAAATAATATAAATTATTAAATGATTATAATCGAGGATGTTTTTTATGATAAAATTAATGCAGATATTTTCTTGAACAAAAGTAGAATAAAATTATGGTAAGCAAATAATATTAGTATTCGAAAAAGTGTAGAATTAGTGATTAAAAAAAAAAAAAAAAAAATAGAAATAATTCTATTTCAAATAACAAATTCGTAATATTCTATATCAAAATGAATAGCAAATTATAAATTGTTAAATTATGCAAAAGCAAAATGTACAGTAATTTTAAAATTTATTTAATAATTTATAAAAAAATTCATAAATAATATTAATAAATTGTTTAAATAGATGTCTTTCATATAAAAACTAATTCTTGATAATTTAATAATAAGCATTGTAGTACTTATAAATTGAATATCGAATATAAACATTGAAATTCATATAGTATATTAATGCATTAAAATAATTTTCTATTCAAGAGGTATTGAAAGTATAAAAATTTTAAATAACGTTTACCTCGAAGTTCCACTTCCTATATCAGGTGGCTTAGCAATGAGCATACTATGCATTGCCATAATATTTGGTCCGATGAAAGATTCTACTACATCCAAAAGTTCTTTGTATGCAAAATATTCTCGAAAGATCTTATCCTCTACTATATCTTGAATTTTATTTATCGAATTACGGTCTACTATATCTTTCATCATAGTGATGCTACCTTTAGGAATCACTCCAGAAGCATAATCATCAAATCTAGTAATCAACGAATCATGTAATAATACATAGGAATTTACAAATATGTTAGTATTTATTTAAAAATTACAATTATTTGTGTAAACATTTAAACGTATTTTAAAAATCATATTTAACAAATTTTATATATTTCATTTGTAACAATAATTTTTTTACATTAATAATTAAAGTCAAATAAGTATACGGTACATCGAGAGTATTATGATTTATATAATTGAAAAAGTGTTTCATTATGTATATTATTAATATTTTTTTAAATTACGTATTGTTAATTTTATAAATTATTAATAAATAATAATACAGATTTTATCATTTATGTAATGGATATAAATCTAATTTGTATTAAGGCAATACAAAAGTTTTATAAAATATTTAAATTAAGCTAATATATTTTATAAAATTTTTACATAATTAAGTTAAAATATTCTAATTTTAAGATGTAAAAATAAACGTTTTGACAAGATTTGTACTTTTAATTTTTAAACGATATAAAATTTTGATACAATATAAATTTCATTAATTATATATTTTCTGTATATTAAAGTATTATTTCCATTTTTATTTTATTCCTATTTTTTTTTTTTTTTTGATATATTAAATTTGTTATTTAGATCTTTAATTCTTTAACGTGGAAAATAAAATATATTTATTATTATAAATCAATTAAATATTTAATATTTATTTATTATTAAAATTATAAAATAGAAAAGTTACCAAATATATTAGCAAAATTGTGAATTTTAATATGTGTACGTGTGTTTAAACTTCTAATGGCGAATGTTAATACGTAAATATAAGTATAAATGTTTATGTTTACAGATTGACGTAATCTGATAAAACTTTCAAGATACTGTACAACACCTTTTGCTGCACTTGTCCAGGATATTGACGGGAACAAGCCGAGGTATAACTAAGAAACCATTGTGCTCATAAAAATTTCTTTGAGCGATAGTTAATTGACCAATATCTTTCGTTAATGTTAAAGTCTGCATTTTCTAAATAAATTTAATCAATCTGAAGCATAAATAAAATTTTTATCATTAGTAAGATTAGAAATAAAATTTTATCTTATAATTGAAAATAAGTGTTCTTCATATATTCATATAAATTAAGTATTATTTTTTTAATTGATACGAAAATTGAATATGAAAATTTTAAATTTATAAAATCGATATTTTAAAGCTGTGAAAATATTGAAAAATTACCAGACTAAAAATAGCTTATTAACATCTACATGTTTATGTTTATTATGTTAATTTTAGATAAATATTTCATTACTATTGATAATTCTCTTTATACTTAAATGAAAATAATATTTGCTTTTTCTCTCGCTCTTTTAGTACAAGATAATTTTGTTACATTATTACAATTGTAATCATACAGTAACATGTTTACACGAATACAGTTGTAGAACATATTTTATTACGTTTAATTCGATTGCTATAGAAAATAAATAAAACAGTTAAAGAAATATACACTTTAACATTAATTGTATGTATTAATTATAATTTTATATTGTGATAAGAAATATAAGTATCTGTTAAATTATTTTTGTAAATAAATTTCCCATTTTCTGTTTCACGAATGTTAATACTATAGGTAATAATGTTAATAATGTTAACATCTAATATGGTATAGACAAATTAATGAAATAATTATAAATTTCTTAAAATTCAAATACTTAAATATGTTGTCAGATGAGTTAAAACGAAAATACATTAATTTACGCAAATATTTTTAATATATAATTTAATATATAATTAGTTTAATAGCTAGGATAAGATTATTTAATGACTGTTTTTTATGCAAATGATATAGCAAAATTATATTTTACTGTCATATGAATATAAAAAACTTGAAAGTTACATAAAGCAATGCATTGACAAATATAAGGAGAGTATATACAATATATAAACTTAATACTTTTAGTACGCGACAAGTATTGTTGCACAAGTTTTTAGATAAATCTAATGCACATTATTTAATATTATTAGTTCTTTTACAAGTAAGTAGAGTGGAACAAAATACTCGTCAGCCTTTCTTATTTCAATATTATTTCCTCCCTCGCTGAACAACGGCAAGACAATGTAACAGCTGGCTTTTTACCTTTGTAAGGACAGATTTTATTTAATAAAGGATGGTGCTTGGATTATAATTAAGTAAATGCTCATTTGAAAGGGACGGATTGATCAATGATGGTCCAGTCGCAACTTTAGAGTAAAGAGGATGATTGATGCCGAACAAGTGCTGATTTATCTCCGAGGAGAGGGTCCTTTTTCTTTTTCGTTTTTTTTTTACATAAGAAATTTATTTACTTTGGCATAAGTAAAAGTGTAAAATATTTATTTTCTAGCATACCTATATATACCGAAATAAGTTATACTTTATTCAGAGTATTCAATTGTGGGATTTCAAAGGATAATAAAATTATAATATGTATGTCTGTATTTAGTAAGTTGAAATTAGAACATCTAGAATAAATCCGTATTATTAATTAATATCACAGATGACCAAATCCTCTCTTCATCTTATGAAAATTAATCTTACTTCATTTAGCGTTTTCTATAAATGACATTATTTTATTATTCTGATGCCTTAAAAATTATAGCTAATTTTTTTTTAGCCTCGAATATATAGTAATATAATTCTATTTTGATTATTATTTTATTTTTAATTGATAATTTCTTTCAAATAAACTATTAAACTATTGTAATAATTGTTGTTATCAAAATTATTTTTATGATTCGTGTATTCGAAATTTTTTCGGTACATTATTTTAAAAAGATTCTGACTTAACATTTTTTAAATTAAAACTTAAATTTATTAATAAACTATTTCAATTTAATAAAAAGTAATATGTTATTTTAACGAAAGTCATTTTGTAATTTTTAATTATTTATGTTGAAATTTTTTAATACAGAGAAATATATATATATTTATATATATTATTTTTTAAATTCTAAACTGTTTAAAAAATAGAAGAAATATCTTAAGATTTCCAATATAATTTTGTTAAGATTAATATATTTATGCATATGTTTATTTATATATTTATCTATTTACATAATTGAATTCTTTTTAGATATTGATATTTTACAGTAGTGTATAAAAAAGAAATTTCGATAAAAATAATAACTAAATTTTATCGCTTTAAGGGATTATGTTGAAAATCAATCTGAAGGCTTTGTAGAATAACATAATGGATTGTAATTTAGGTATATATATATTATTTAAAATGGGAAAAAGTTTTTCTCATTGTGCTTTGTTTTTTACTTTCCTACAAGCTATTTTTAATTCCATTATACTTATATGCATATAAAGTATTTATAAGCTTGCGGTGCGCTTGCGTCGACTTATTTCAGTTCCGATGATGATATCCGAAAGATCGGTTGCGGCGGCAATAAGCACGTGGCAACGTCATAAGGTCGGGGAGTAGATGTATTAGCCAGTTGCACGTTTCGATCAAAAGCGTTGCAACGATTTTACGGCATACTCTATTACGTTTCTTTATTAATATTTATATATATGTAAATATATATATATATATATATATATATATATATATATATTTCATATTTCACTTGTTTTTAGTTTGTTACATAGTACCATCTAATATTTTTTCACTTACAGAAACTTGCGGTTTGATCACTTTCATAATTTTATTTGTACGTTGAAAGGAGTATTATCCGAATTAAGTCAGACATTGATATTTTCCTTTAAATAAACATCACTTTTTCATTAGTTTTATTTTTACTGTTATAGTGATAACTTATTAACGATATAATTTCGGAACGTTTTCAAGGATCTATAAATACTATAAAAGACTCTGATATCAGACAGGATTCAAACTAGGATATCCAGGAGACTATTACAGTCGATACGCTTAAAGGAAAATGATAAAGTTCTTAGGTAAGGTTTTTTTTATTCACTTTCTTTATTAATTAAATATGATTACATTCCATTATAATAAATGAAATGTTCATCATAATTAATTATTATAAAGTACAACACAAATAATTTTATTAAGTTATGACTCGTATAATATATTTTTATGTTTTATTAAATGAATTTATAGCATATACTTTTAACATTTTATGTATATATGTGTAGTTCAAACGATCATATTATCAACACTAATTTTTGGATATAAGCATTTAGTATTTGATTATTTAAATCTCGTTTAAATGAAGTTAAATTATTAATATAAGTAACAAAAAATACAATTTCTCATTATTATGAATGATAAAAATGATTTTTTATTAGCATAGTGGTAAATAAGTCAATATAATATAAATATGGTTAAGACTTGGTTTAGAACATACTTAATGGTTGGTTATTTAAAATACATCATACTTTTTACTTTATCGGTTACATGAATATTGATACGAATGTTTAATTTATAATTATTTGTAAGAATATTCTTCATAATTTCATATGAATTAAACTAAGTACGATTTGATATTTGAGTATTTAATTTAATTTTTTTTTAATTTACTTATGAAATTAAGTATAAAAACAATAATTATTTTGATAAATAAATTCAGGGTAATTAGTTAAATGTATTATTTACGAAATAAAAATGTAAATTTAAAGAGTATAATCTAAGTAGATTAAAATTTAATTACGATAAAACTTTAAAAAGTAATGATTTATTACATAGCTTAGATTCGAGTAGTATGCAATATATTGATTATATTCAAGTTTTATATGAAAATTTCAAATATTTAGAGAGAAAGTTTAAGTATATACTGGTATAAACTATAAATAATAGTACAGTTAATGACGAATAACAACATTTAATGATTCATAATTCTTTTTGTATACTTTATAAATCTACCTGCATTTGAAAGAAAATGTAGCATTTAGAATAAATATTCAGATCTAATATAATAGACGATATTATGTATATAGTAAAATATTTATAATATTTAAAATGTATTTATTTGATTCGCTTAGGACAGGAGATGATTATTCTAATCAAGTTATCTAAATAAGTTAGGGATATATTTTTAAATAAAAATAATCAAAATGTATTATTCAAGCAAATGCGTTCATTTATTTCGCGCAATTAAAAAATACACATCAACAATTTGAGAATAATTTGAAATTTGAATATAATAATTGAAATATTTTTATGTTACGAAGAAACTATTATTACTACTTTATTTTATGAATATATGTCCCAATCATTAGAAAACAAAAGAAAACATTATTTTTAAGTGGTATACAAATTTTTTCTAATCTGTTATTAAATAGAAATGAAATAAATGTTTAAATTAAATGTTAAATGTTTTGTAATCGTTATTTTTATATAATCAATTGAAATTTTAATGATGAAAAATAACTATTTTTCATAAATAGCTTCCTAAATTATATTACAACCTATATTATTAATAATATAGTTTAAATTTAAATACACAAAACGTTTTAATTATAATTATTAGTATGTTTTTTTTGTGTGGAAAATTTGAAATAATACGAATTTTTCGATCAAACAAAGTATTTATTTTATTGAGCATTTTATTTAATTTTATTATTAATTTGGCATCAAAATTATTAAACAAAGTTACTAAAAATCTTTAAATGCGGTATGAAATACTTATTTTATTGTATGGAATAATTACGATGCAATATGTAAAGTATATTGCTTTATATTATAAGAGTATTGTAAGCTTGAAGAATATTATTTTTTTAAACATTGCCATCAAAATTTTATTAATGAAGGAGGATATGTATTAGTGAAATAAAAAATATTTTTCAGAACTAATTGTATATTTCATTTTTTTTTCACGAATTTTTGTGACGAAGAAGTTCTTGGTAAAATGAGTTTTATGTTTTCTCATACTAAATAAACAAACTACGTTGAATTTTAAATCATTTTTAAGTAATTATATTAATTTTTAACATTATAAACCACTTTTTGCTGTATTATGTAAAAAATAATGAACTATCAATGCATTATTATATGATAGAAATAAAAGCTCATACAGTCATGTATAAACATTTTAATATGTACAATATTAATATTCATATAATTTACATTCATACAATATTAATATCAATATCTATAAAATTAGAGAATTATTAGATAGAAGAATGTTAAAATTAAACTTGCAAACATTTTTTGCGAAAAGCTTTCTTTATTAAGTAAATCTGGTTATTTAACTATAATGCAACTGAAGTTATAGTTTGTACTACAGTTATATAACATTATCAGCGACTTTCTTATTTCATTGTTTAGATATTGCTTAGATTTAAAAAATTAAACATTATAATAAGTTTACAATAATTAACAAATTTGTCAAAATTAAAGTCTTATAAAGTACTGAATATTATTTACTAATTGAGCTGATTTTTGTTGATAGAATCAAGTATAATGAAATTTAATAAATATAATTCTCGTGAAATATGAAAAACTTAGCTACTTTATAATAAATTTACAACTGAAATATAAATACGAAAATTATTGAAATTTTTTATTAACAATCTATTTTTATTAAACTTTTATAGTAAACTACTTATTAAACTATTCTACTCAATCAAATGGTCGTATTTTCTTTTATGATCGAGATTACATTAGAATCGGATTCAATCTTATTGACAGACTTTTATAAAAATATTAATTTTTATATTATTTTTATAATATTTCATATTATAATTATATTTAAATTACAATTAATTAGAATTATTATAATTAATAAAAGTTGAAATTAAACATCATACAAATTTTATTCCTAATATTATATGTATTATTATTCAAATTTAAAAATATTATGTTTTTCATTGTATTAAATTAATATTAAACTATTGATATTATTTTTATACTCCCTCAATCAATTTATATTGATAATAATGCGAAAATTATTACGTCTTTATACGTATTAAGAAATTTTACTTAAATATCATAATTATTTAAAAGTAAAAAAATTTTTATATACCTTTTTCTACTTGTACGAAAAATTATCTCAAGTTTTTACAATTTCTAGCGATAATTAGCTATTATTACTTTATAAATTCTTAATATATGTACTGTTTTAAATACTGGATTGCTTATAAAGTCACTGGAACACTTATATATCGGAATTGGCTTCCAAAAAATTTTGTACTTTAATATTTAATTGTAAGTGGTTTGAGCGAAATTAAATTTAAGATTATTTTAAGATTATTATCATTATTAATTTAAATTAATATATAAAAGTATAAAGTGTGCGTAAATCTCATTTCTATGAAAGTTACTTTATTCGATTCAATTAATAACTTCAATATTATGAAAACTTAGTTTAATATCTGTAATATATATTACAGAATATATATGAAATTGTTAAGTTGTGCCATTAGTTTTTCCAATATTGATGTTACAAAGTATTTACTCTTATACAAAAAGATATATACATACATTACACAAGGATTTAATATTAAACTATATAATGTATATATTAATAATATTTTTCATTAATATACTTTATGTGAGATCATGTATTTTACATTAAATACATTACAGATATTTATTTATATGAGAGAAGAAAAATATTTTTATTAAGCTTATTCTTTTATTCTATGATTTTAAAGTTTATTTTTAACAGCGTGAATTAGTAAAAATAAATATATGAAAATGAAAATACAATGGTATTTGGTGTAATTTTATTAGAGTTTTAAATACTGTATCACGCAAAAAGTGATTAGAATACTATAGTAATAAACTTTAATATATACTCTGTTATAGAATCTATCTTTTAAAATCTTTTAATATCACTCTGTTATAAACTGATATAAAATATCTTCAAATACATTAAAATAATTGCACATAAAATTTTTCTTAAACTAATAATCTTATGTTATTTAGCATTTAGCATTGACAATACATGTAAACTATGAATTTTAGTTTATATTATTTATAAGATATTTCAAAAATTTTCCACAAGTGCTCAATTTGCTTTCATGATACTGAAAATCTATTTATTTAAAAATTCCATATTTCGGACTCTTTATTCTTTTTCATTTTAAATTTCGAGAAAAGATAGAAATTTAATAAAGCTTATGAAATTTTTGATATTTTGTGCACATGCAACTATCGATAAATATAGCATGGAAATTATGCTTTTACATTTTCTCGAGAAATCATAGTTATATTCTTAGATAAGACAAAACATTTACAATATACATAATGAAAGCCACATAACAGAGGGAATCGATCTGATTCGTTAATTATACAATGAGGTCTATAACCTTTTCTATGCGGTATAATAGACCATGAATACTTTTACAAAGATAGACTATTGACATAGAGAGGATTCGAAGACTGTTTCTTAAATGTTCGATTTTATTCTTATCAATAATTTTGATCGAAGCTTAAATATTATATGTATATATAATTGTTTGGTAAGGAACTAACGGTACGAGTACTGTAAGTGTATGCAGACAAACTTTAAATTTTATTTATACATTTTCTTTTATTCTATTTAATAATTGTGTCATTGTGTAATAAATAGAACATAAGCAGATAATTTCAGGTCATTTAAAAATAAATATTTCAATGATATTATGTTTAATAGATGAGATATATTAACAAAATACTGATACACAAATTAGAAAAGAAAAATTCCATTTTAACAATGTATACGTAGAATGATTACAAAATTATACATTTAAAAACACACGATGTCCTGAAAAATTAGTTGAAAAATTGATAAAAACAAAAGTAAGGCATTATTAATTGGCATGTCAAAATTTGTGAGAGGCCGATATTTTAGTTCTACGTATTTAAAAAATAAATAGTTGCATCCATAATAAATACATTATTTTAAAATACTTAGAAATAAATTAAATTATCAACTTATGAAGTGTATTTTAATGAAAAATAAAATGCTTATAAAAATCATAAGTATAAATTTATAATACGATTACTTAAC